TCATGTGGGGTGAATTCGGACAAAATTAGACATTTAATTTCATCGATACTGGGGGGAGAAGGTACGGGTCAACATCCAGTTCGGCAATCCTTAAAGGCGCCCGTTTCTGCAATGTTTGAATGTTTAGCACCGCCCCCCAACTCGCTCAATGGCTTCTCATTTCCCCTACGCTCTCATAACACAGAGCCACCTAGTTTTATTTGCGATCTGATACATATGCTAACATTAGCATTAGCGCAACTTCTTGTAAGCAGTGCAACAATCACTGATGAAATGGCACTAAAGCAACGCACTGCTAACACAATATATAAGTAAAAGAATACCGCTAGTTTCGCGTCCGGATGTATTAATTTAAAACCTTAGAATATATTCTAATATTTAATTATAATGTGTTATAGAGCTCCTCAAAGCAGCAGCAGCAATTCTTCCGATCATTTTTTCTTGATAACAGAACTCTCAAACCAATAAAGATCGCAGCCCCAATGCAACCTCTGTTTGTAATTCAGGTGTGTAAAATACTGCCATTACTCTGCAAGAACAAGCTATCAGTACCTGTCACTACACACTTGTCTGTGTAGAGAAGCTAGCGGAGCTAGCAACGCTCAATAAACAACTACATATCTATCAATCAACACCATTAAACGTCAATTGGACAATACAGTACACATATACATCCTTAACACACATGCACGGATGATTTCAGAATTTGCTGTTAACGTTTTCATGACAAAAATACTGTTTCAATGTGACAAAAAGCGATTGCGAAAAACCCGGAAGTTACCATGAAACAACTAGCTAGCTTAGCTGTTACCTGCCTAGCACGTTCCGGTGAAACCTTTGGGAGCTAACTATTTTATTTGCAGTCATTAAATACATTTCGAATTACAAGGGTTGTCTAATATTTGTTCACATTTTTTTATTCAATTATTTTGTTCATCATTTTTTATTTTAGAATTATATTCGAATTTTGAAGTCGAAGCCCTGGTGTTAAGCAGCGCTGTAGAGACTAGAGGACGCAGGCTGTAGAGGCTAGAGGACGCAGGCTGTAGAGGCTAGAGGACGCAGGCTGTAGAGGCTAGAGGACGCAGGCTGTAGAGGCTAGAGGACGCAGGCTGTAGAGGCTAGAGGACGCAGGCTGTAGAGGCTAGAGGACACAGGCTGTAGAGGCTAGAGGACGCAGGCTGTAGAGACTAGAGGACACAGGCTGTAGAGGCTAGAGGACACAGGCTGTAGAGACTAGAGGACACAGGCTGTAGAGGCTAGAGGACGCAGGCTGTAGAGACTAGAGGACACAGGCTGTAGAGGCTAGAGGACACAGGCTGTAGAGGCTAGAGGACACAGGCTGTAGAGGCTAGAGGACACAGGCTGTAGAGGCTAGAGGACGCAGGCTGTAGAGGCTAGAGGACACAGGCTGTAGAGGCTAGAGGACGCAGGCTGTAGAGACTAGAGGACGCAGGCTGTAGAGACTAGAGGACGCAGGCTGTAGAGGCTAGAGGACACAGGCTGTAGAGACTAGAGGACGCAGGCTGTAGAGACTAGAGGACGCAGGCTGTAGAGGCTAGAGGACGCAGGCTGTAGAGGCTAGAGGACGCAGGCTGTAGAGGCTAGAGGACGCAGGCTGTAGAGGCTAGAGGACGCAGGCTGTAGAGGCTAGAGGACGCAGGCTGTAGAGGCTAGAGGACGCAGGCTGTAGAGACTAGAGGACGCAGGCTGTAGAGGCTAGAGGACGCAGGCTGTAGAGGCTAGAGGACGCAGGCTGTAGAGGCTAGAGGACGCAGGCTGTAGAGGCTAGAGGACGCAGGCTGTAGAGGCTAGAGGACGCAGGCTGTAGAGGCTAGAGGACGCAGGCTGTTCACTGCTCGCTCTGTGAGCGGAGGAGAACAAACGGCCCGCTAAGACTCCACTCAGCACTTTTCACTGCTTGTAATTCTTACACAGCTGAATCAATTACCTCAAGTTTTCAATTAAATGATGTATTATGATACAACTTGTATGTAGTAAAAACCATTTTTATGAACTACTTAGAAAAAATATTGGGTATAGCTTCTTTAACTTCTCCAAATACCACTCTTTGTGAGCCCTGACAAGATGTCCTACTTCCACCAATAACGTAATCGAACATGTGCTTGAAGCAGCCACTTCTCGATTTAGGAGAGGAAGCTCCGTTTTAAAGAGTTGTAGTCCGTTTTGCTCACGCCGCAATGCTAGTTTCCAATACTTCCGCCGTAAGCTCATGCACAATCACGTGACTGGATGACGTCGATGCATCTGGTCAATACAAGTGAACCAGGACCAACCCAGATGTGAACCAGGAAGAAAGCAGAGAAAGATCGGTGGGCAATCTCTGCTGAGTTCACTTTTATTGTTGGTAGTAATGTTTATTTATATTGCGCATTTTACAGACCAAAGTCACCCAAAGCTCTTTACAATGTTAGTGTTTAAACTCGACCCTTGACCCTGCACAAAAACACTGACATATGTTGAATAGTGTATCTGTCAGATAGAACCTGATATAACCAGTGAGTTTGTAAAGTGACCCACTTCTGCTGCATGCAGAAAGCTCCTAGTTTCGATCCATGTAACGTGTCTGCCCTCGGCCAATCGGAAGGGTTCACACACTAGCCCTGCCTCCTGCTACAGAAGCACCTAATCAAATGAGAGGGGGTTTCCCAGCATTCCAGACAGAGGCATGAATGAAGCTTCAGGAGCTGGGCCTTGTTTCTCCTGTTGCTACGACAACAACACAGAAGCAGGAAGCAGCTCACACACACTAACACCATGTGGAGTTTGTTCAGAGAGAGCGTTAGAGCGGGGGTGAGCGAGAGAGTAGGTGAGGGCGAGAGAGAGGATGAAGGTGAGAGCAGAAACGCAAGGTACAGATGTGCTTCACTTTTATGGCTGCTAAGTCCGTGGTGATGAAGATGGAAAGAGAAGTAAAGGTGAGAATCCTGGTTCAGTCAATGTTGAAATAGGCTGCTTTTTAAAGGCCACAAATATGAATGTTGTCATTTGATTTGTGCTTCAAACCATAACTACTATCAATCTTTAGCGGGAGAGGGCTGTGGTGGTAGGGGCTGCTAACAATTTATGATATACACACAGGAGTTCTACAGTAACTATAACATTATAAAGGATCTATAGCCTCAGTCACATACAGGTGTTGGCTGAAGCTTATTGATGAGATGTCTCGATTTACAAAGCATGTATTTGTACAAGAATGTTATGAGTCTGATTAATTTTTCTTGTAAAGGTATGAGGAATTGTGGTCTGTTTTTTCAGACTTCTCTCACTGGAATCATGAAAGTTGTTATGTTGGTGTATTTCAAAGATGTAATTAAAACAAAAATACATCAGGAAGTCTCTGCTCCTGTCTTTTCCACAGGATCCGTTTCACACACAGCTGTTTGTAAAATCTTCTCACAGCATCAGTTTCTGATTGAGTCGATGTATTTGATCAGAGACGACGCACACAAAATCATTTGTGTGCCGTCTCCTGAACAAATGGCCATATAAGGAAACTGGCTCCAGTAGCGCTGGGACAACGCGTCGCCATAATCCATGACGTTGACGCAAAAAATACGTTGACGCAAAATATACACGCAAATTTGTCAGAGCGAGTAGTAGCAGTAGTATCACCACGAGTTCAGATAGCCGATGCTGGAACGCAGTTTCCACGCGCAGTAGACGCACATTCTCTAAATTTCAGAGGCTATGGGTGGTTAGGCCATCAAGTGCTTTGATGCTAGCGGCTTTTTGTGTAAAGTTCTTTTCCAAGAAGGAAGAGAAAAAAAAGTTTTTACATTGGTTACTGTATTCTTTCAGTTGCTCTAAACAAGTATTTTGGGTGAATTTATTTTTTAATTTTTTATTGAATGCTAAACATCAAGTGTTGTTTTCAACTGAAAGAAGAATAATAAGATGCACTTTTTTCAGTAGTGTTTTAAGAGCAATAAATATATTTTGTTAAGGAATTCATGTTTTTTTCATTCAGATATGTAAATCAGCATGTATACATTGATATTAGTCAATTAATGGGGAGCTAATCGAATCAGACTGAATAAAATGAATCGTTAGATTAATCGATGCATCAAAAAAATAATTGCTAGTTTAATCATTAAAAAAATATTCGTTTATTCCAGCCCTAGGCTCCAGGTTATATTCAAATCAGATTCTTCTGGATCATGGCCAAGCCCTGGTGATCCAAGATGCGCCCTATTCAAATGAATGGCTTGTGCTCAGTTGCGCGTGGGACATGCATTCGGGCACCGAAAGATTAACGGAACTCGCCCATATTTGGGCATAGTCTGGTCCTCCCAGTCCCAGTTCTGCGCAGTGGACGAGCTCCAATGATGCGTCGCGCCAAATACGCGTGTGTGGCTTTCATGCACGTGCACAGAGGGGCTTGGCCACGTTTTGACCAATCAAAGCTGCTGATCAGAGCGGACCTAGAGCTCTTTACTGCCAGAGTTTGTGGCAGTAAAGTGTGGATTTAAGAAAAAAGTTCAGAATGACAAAGGACACTGTAATCTCTACAAAATCTGACCTTTCTGAAAGCTGTAGGTTCTCTGTCAGCTGAGGTCGAGCTGTTTTAGTTTACGTTGAGTTCTTTGGGAATTTTGTATGGGTAGCCCACATTAATTTAGTCTGCATTACCACGGGCGCCCCCTGTGCCCATAGGTGGGAAAGCTAAAAGCTAGTAATACCCTGATCCATAATTATTGCTAACACTGCTAGTGCTACTTTTATCGCCACTGAACTAGCACTCTGTATATTTCACATACATCAATACGACAGACAAATAACAAGTACATATAGAACAAGTACCTTCAGCTGGACACGTGTGTTTGAGCCATAGAGCCTATGACTGTGACATCAGTCTATTATGACCACAGTGTGACATCACAACAGTGTTAGCAATAATCATGGATCAATAATAATTTCTCTTACCAGCTGCCCTGCTTGTTAACCGTGTCCCTCACAGTTCTGTGCTTCTTCTGCAGATGGAGTCTCCGGCCTCCACGCCGGCTCCTCCTCAGCTCCACCTGCTGGCCGCAGTGGGGAACAGTGAGATCTCGTCTCCGTGTGAGCAGATCATGGTGCGCTCTCGCTCGGTGGCGGTGAACACGGCAGACGCAGCTCTGGCCACAGAACCAGAGTGTTTAGGACCATGTGAACCTGGCACCAGTGTGAACCTGGAGGGAATTGTGTGGCAGGAGACGGAGGACGGTGAGAGACCACTATCACACATTTATTTATATATTCTGTTATTTTTATATATCCTGAAGATCAGGTTGTTTAGGCTGGGGGACATAACTTCTCATTAATGATACATTTGGTTTACCTCACCAGAAAGACATGCATTTTTATCTGATTTGAAAACATTATCATTATCTCATACTCTTTGGGCTTAGAGTTGATAGCCTGCATGAGGGTGGTAAGTGCTAATGGCCTTTGTGACAAAGGCCAGAAACACACGATTTTTCATTATGTAGTTACATTTTCCATTGTTTGAAATTTGAGTGCCTCAGCTTTAACTCATTGACTGTCATAAACGTAAGAATAGGTTAATTCAAAAATACATAGTTTTTTCACTCTTTTCCTCTCCTTCTGTGTCCCACGTATCATATATGTCTGGGGATGGCTGTAGACAATGTTTTTATTGAGCCAGCCGGTGGCAGCAGAGCTCTGTGGGTGTCTTGGTCAAAGATCACTGTCTGAGCACTCTGTGCAGGAGAGATAGAGGAGAAGCAGGCATGGAGTAATATAGTCAGGGACAGGCATTAATTTGAGGCAATTTGAGCAGTAAATGTGTCTCTAGAGCCGACAGACACCATGTGGAGGATCAGGGCAGCAAACCAGAATTGCGCTCCAAAATGGCACACAAAAGTGGGCTATCGCTAATACTATCACTGTACCAGGAGCCAGCGGCAAAGTCCAGTTATCACAGCGCTTGCTGGACTAAACAGAACAACACTCTGTAGATGAAACCACACGAACACACACAAACACGCGCATAAACGCACATGCATTTGTGTATATGTTTATATTTTGTGTCTTAACTGTTGATTCTCTGATCTGTGTTGGTGATTTTCAATGGTTTTGTTAAGTCCTCTGAGATTATTTCTGTCTTGATTTAGGGCTATACAAGAATAAGTTGTTGTTGTTGATGCATGTGCACACACAGACGCAAAGGCATACAACAGTATTCTATTGCACATATAGTATAGGTATATAGTCTGTTCACTTCACTGATTTATTGTCATTTATAGTGTTTATCATTGTAATTTTGCTATTCTCTGATTTACTGTTATTGACATAAATATAGCCTCACCTAATGCATGAACACTGGCTATTCTTTCTAGCATAACTTGTCATTGGCTCTACTTTCAATATGTAAATGTGGGTGTGTGCCATAAAACCTATCATTTTGCATCAAAAACACTTTCTCATAACTTGTTGTTGCTGATCCTGGACATGTTTGAGGATATTCTAAAGTTAAACTAAATAGTGTTACAATCACTCTTTTGCAGATTCGTCTGTTTTCACAAACACCTAATTTTCTCTTTTTTTTTCTAAGACTGGTGCTTTCTGTCACACCCGTCTTTTTGACTGCTGATTACAAGAGAATGAAACAGGCTAGAAACTAGGGCTGGGCAATAAAAAGATAACGATATATATTGCGATAGGCACGTGTTCGATAGTTATAGCAGAGCAGCCGGCTTTAAAGATGACAGGGTTGAGTTGCTTTTACCATAGGGTCGGACGTTGCTTCCAGTGACGACACTCGTTGGCCAATCAGTGAAAGATTCTTGTAGCACTGTATCCTAAAGCAAATTTCCCTTGGGACAATAAGGTTTATCTTATCTTATGAAAGGCAGTCAGCTGACGTCACGTCATGGTGTACCTTTGGCACGCTTGGAACCACTGTCGAGGTGGCTGTCAAAAATGAATGTGAATTGTTTTTTATTGTTATTATTATTGTAATAGATCCACGACCTACAGCATTGTATCAATCCAATCCACTTTTATTTGTTTTTTTCCATTCCATGCCATTTTCATCCGTTGCCGGGTTGCGGGGGCAGCAGTCTAACCAGAGACTCCCAGACTTCCCTATCCACACACACTTCCCCCAACTCATCCGGGGGGACCCCAAGACGTTCCCAGGCCAGCTGAGGGACATAGTCCCTCCAGCGTGTCTTCAAGTGGAGCAGCAGCGGCTCTACTCTGAGCTCTTCCCGTGTGACTGAGCACCTCACCCTATCTCTAAGGGAAGGCCCTGCCTGAGGAAGCTCATTTCGACCGCTTGTATCTGTGATCTTGTCTTTTCGGTCATTACCCCAAAGCTCATGACCATAGGTGAGGGAGGGAACGAAGATTGACCGGTAAATCGAGAGCTTTGCCTTTAGGCTCAGCTCTCTTTACCACAACGGTCCGATACAGTGAGCGCATCACTGCGCACACTGCCTCGATCCACCTGTATAGCACATTTCATAAATCAAGTTTTCAAAGTGCTTACAATAACAACACATTACAATGTACATGTTCGACAGGTTTTACGCAATTAAAACATACAGTAAAAACAAAACAAAAAAATAATAAAAACAATAAATTACCAATTATCAAATTGTAAAGGTAAAACAATAAAATAAATAACACAGATAAAACCGAGGACCACACAACTCATGCTGTGTTAAAAGCCAAAGAGTAAAAATTCGTCTTTAGACAAGACTTTAGACAATTCCAACAGGCGAGCTGCTTTGACGTGAGGAGGCAGAGGGTTCCATAGCTTTGGTCCAGCCATAGAGAAGGCCCTGTCCCCCTGGGTTTTAAGTCTCATCTTTGGCACCACAAGTTGGAGCTGGCCCTCGGACCTCAGTGTCACACCCGTTTGGGTGTGTGTCTTCAGTGTTGTGTGTAATAGTGTTTGCATTGTAATAAATGTGTTTGTAAAGGTGTATGTTCCTCTGTGCAGGAATGCTGGTGGTGAACGTCACCTGGAGAAATAAGACCTATGTGGGAACTCTGCTGGACTGCACCAGGCACGACTGGGCTCCTCCCAGGTATGAACCTGAGAGAGACATAGACCTGAGAGAGACATAGACCTGAGAGAGACATAGACCAGAGAGAGAGATAGACCTGAGAGAGAGATAGACCTGAGAGAGAGATAGACCAGAGAGAGAGATAGACCTGAGAGAGAGATAGACCTGAGAGAGACATAGACCTGAGAGAGACATAGACCAGAGAGAGAGATAGACCTGAGAGAGAGATAGACCTGAGAGAGAGATAGACCAGAGAGAGAGATAGACCTGAGAGAGACATAGACCAGAGAGAGACATAGACCAGAGAGAGACATAGACCAGAGAGAGAGATAGACCAGAGAGAGAGATAGACCAGAGAGAGACATAGACCAGAGAGAGACATAGACCAGAGAGAGACATAGACCAGAGAGAGACATAGACCAGAGAGAGAGATAGACCTGAGAGAGAGAGAGACCTGAGAGAGAGATAGACCAGAGAGAGAGATAGACCAGAGAGAGAGATAGACCAGAGAGAGAGATAGACCAGAGAGAGACATAGACCAGAGAGAGACATAGACCAGAGAGAGACATAGACCAGAGAGAGACATAGACCAGAGAGAGACATAGACCAGAGAGAGACATAGACCAGAGAGAGACATAGACCAGAGAGAGACATAGACCAGAGAGAGACATAGACCAGAGAGAGACATAGACCAGAGAGAGAGATAGACCTGAGAGAGAGATAGACCAGAGAGAGAGATAGACCAGAGAGAGAGATAGACCAGAGAGAGACATAGACCAGAGAGAGACATAGACCAGAGAGAGACATAGACCAGAGAGAGACATAGACCAGAGAGAGACATAGACCAGAGAGAGACATAGACCAGAGAGAGACATAGACCAGATATTAGGGATGGAATCAAACAGTTTTATAATGTTTGTATGGATTGTCAGGTCTCTCAGCTTTACCTCTGCTCCTGTAGGTTCTGCGACTCTCCCAGCTCGGATGTGGAGATGCGTTCTGGTCGGGGACGGGGCAAACGCATGCGACCAGGTGGGAACACTCCTCTGAACGACACCAGTAACTCCTCAGATGGAAAAACCAGCGGGAACAGTAAAACCAGGGGCGCAGCCACCAGCAAGGGCCGGCGAGGGAGCCAGACACCAGGAGCAGAGGACCTTAAGGACCATAAAGCCAGTCCCTCTGCAGCCAAGAGGAAGACCAAGCCTGCCTCAGACATGGAACCAACCTCCAGTTCAGAGGACACCAAAGGTTCCAAGAGGATGAGGACCAACTCCACAGGTCAGAGGTCACAGGGGTCAGAGGCCCACATACAGGCTTCACCCAAATATAAGTCTCAGGGTCATGTTGTGATGTCACAATTCACCAACAGCAACAGTCAACTGTTGTATCTGGACACTATAAGATTTGATAATGATGAAAGCTTTTCATATAGAGCTTTGGTTCAGACTCTAAAGCCTAGAGTATACTTGCGCGGCGTGGCTTACGTTAGCGGTTGCGGTGGACCTACGTAAGCACAATTGATGTTATACTGGTGCATTCCCCTTACGGAGTTTTGAGGAGAATGTTGTAATCCCACAACAAACCACATGAGGGCGATCACACAGGAGCGGTCCCATTTACGCTGCTACTTTGTCCTCTTCAGAACAACAATAACAAACAAAGCTGTTTGAGCTCATTACACGTGTTTCTACTGCAGATTCATGTGATAGTTTTATGGATTCATTATTTTATAAGTCATTTCAACTGTGATTCTGTGAATAAAGACACAGTTCTTGTTGGAAACATAGTTATTATTAAATAGTTTTCAGCACAACCAGCAAAACAATAATAGTGGTAAATATCTGAGACAAACATGAACGATTTACGAGTGCAGGAGGAAAGCAACAAACGCAGCTACGATTCAAAAAAGACAGGAACAGTGCAAAACAAACGACTGCACAGTTTATAAGTTATATATATGTTAGATATAAGTTATATATATGTTCGATAGTCCACAGTCTCCTGTATATCAGGCTCTGAGCCCAAACTGCTTTTCCTTCGAAGCACAAAGCTTTAGAGCCATAGTGCCTCGTCCATGCTCCTGCTGCAGCCGCTCCGTGCTTCCTTCCAATACACACACGGACCAATCACAGCGGAGCTTCCTTGCGGCGACCCTTACGTAGTTAGAACATTTCGATGCTGCAGGGCAGGCAACGTAAGGGCCTTGCGGTGACCAACGCGTTACGCAAGTGACGTCACGTCACCTCCGTAAGCTCCGCGCCGCGCAAGTATAAACTAGGCTTAAGTTTGCAGTCACATGCACAACCTAAAGCCTGGTTAAGTTGGGCCTTGTCCAAGATTTTGACTAGATCTGGGCTTTAGATGCTATGTGGCCGCGGCAACAGGGCTTGGGCACGATTTGGAGAGATGGTCAATGTGCCAGGTGGGGGATGAGGTGGGGTGGGGACGTGATATTGTGCATCACATTACGTGGTGATTGAACTACTGTTTTTGTCGTTGTAGGTAAATGTGAGGCTGTAGAGCGGACTTGCCCCTCCCCCGTCCTCATCGACTGCCCTCATCCAAACTGCAATAAGAAATATAAGCACATCAATGGCCTGAAGTACCATCAAGCACGCGCTCACAACGACCAGGACGTGCGTCTGGACCAGGACGGAGACAGCGAGTACGGAGACGACTCCCTCCATCCTGACAACATCTGTAACGGAGCCGCCATCTCCCCTGCTCGCTCCAACACCCCCAAAGGACGAGGCTTTGATGCCCCCTCCCCCTCTGCTAAGAAGGGCAAAAAGAAGAGCGGGGAGGCGGAACCAGATGGGACGGATGGCGGCGAGGAGGCGGGCTGTCTCACGGACGACGCCAGTAATGACGGCATGGACGACAGAAAGGCAAAGAAGATGGCCGCCGCCGGGAAGAACGACAAAATGAAAAGCGTTAAACCAGGACGTCCGGCTTCCACCGCTTCCACAGGGCCCCCTGCAGGAGCTCCAGTGAACTATACCCTGCAGGCCACCTCTCCTTCTATGGGCACAGTGGTACAGTCCATCCCCAAGAGTCCTCAGCTCAAAAGTGCACAACCTAAACCTGTGGAGCCTGCCACCAGCCCCGCGCTAGCAAAGGACAAGAAGAAGAAGGACAAGAAGAAGAGGGAGGGGAAGGAAGGGGACAGTCCCAAAGCCAAGCGTCCAGAGGAGGGCAAGAGTCCGTACGCAGAGGACACCATGCTGAACGGCTCTGACCCGCACCAGACCCGTTTAGCTAGCATCAAAGCTGAGGCTGATAAAGTTTATAGCTTCTCAGACAACGCCCCCAGCCCATCGATAGGTGTGGCAAGCCGTGGAGAACCAGGAGCACCTCCAAACCCTCCGCACGCCAATCAGAACGGAGACAATGCCTCGGTCAAAACAGGAAGTCCTGCCTACTCGGACATTTCAGACGCAGGTGAAGACGGTGAGGGGAAGGACGGCGTGAAGACGGTGAAGACTGAGCCCGATCAGAGCGCCAGAGAAGCAGCTAAAAAGACTCTGTTCCCCCCACAGAACCCCAAAGACCCTCAGTACTACCCCAACTATGACTCGTACTACTCCCCCAACTACCCCAACCCCAGCCCAGGCCAAGCCCCCACGCAGCCAGAGGTCGCGGTAAAGATCAAGAAGGAGGAGGACGTGGACGCAGAAGAGGTCAGGTTAAAGACTGAGCCTCAGGACGAGCGTAAAGCAGAAGGTCAGCAGCAGCAGTCGGTGATCCAGCAGAGGTCTAACATGTACGCTCAGCCTCTGTACTATAACCAGTACTACGTCCCTCCATACTCCTACTCTCCAGACCAGTACCACGCCCACCTACTAGCCACTCAGAGTCCCAATGCTAATGCTAACGCTAACCCTGCGTACCAGAGGCAGTACGAGGATCGGTCCAGACCAGAGGGGAAGAAACCAGACATTAAACAGGAAGTGAAGGCTACTGTCCCACCCACCCTGTCCCGCGCTCCCAGTCTGACTGACCTGGGATCTAAAGGCACAAAGGGTAAAGAGGGGGAGGGTAAGTCTGTGATCATGGTGAAAGCAGAGGAGCAGAAGCCTCAGGCGCAACAGCCGCAGCAGCAGGAGGGGCTGAAGATGAAGCTGAGTGAAGCAGGGCATCATGGGAAAGAGGAGGGGAAGTCAGGGGCGGAGCCTGGCCGCACGACGGGGGTGGAGCCAGCTCTGTGGTATAGACAGGTGAGCACATGCTTTATCTCTGTGATCTTTATCCTGTTTGATGTGTATTGTAAGCCTTCTGAATGTGCGAGATGCAGGCTACTGTACAGTAGCCTGGCCTTAGCCATACGTAAACTCTGGTCAATTATTAATTTCCTACATGTACGGCTGGTATTGATCAATCAATCAATCAATCAGCGAGCAGGGGAGGCGAGTTAGCGCCGAATTTGCTGGTTGTCGTATGGTAATGGCTGCAAATCTGATAATAAAGTAATCCGTTCTGGTTCGGCTCCAGATATCAAGACATTGAAGCCGGAGTAAGTGGGATGTTTAGAAAATGTCATTGCTGGCAAAGTGTTGGGGCTCTATTCCCCTCAGTCTTCGTTAGTGGCAAAGGAGATGGCTAAAGCTAAGCTAAATGCTAGCGACTCACTCGGGAGCATTACATATGTCACGGAAAACTCAGATCCTATCGTTTCAATCTGCAAAACCCCTCCCACCTGTTAACGGAGCTCAGTGGAGCAAATCCGGACCTTAGTACGAAATGACCTATCGGCATCAGACCGATGTAAAATTGGGCCGATAAGCACAGCCAATGTGTATTGCTGAGTGTGTACAGCGTTACGCAACGCGCAAAGTCCTCCGAGGAACAGGAAGTTCTTCTACTATATCTCTGAGTATATACCCGGCAGACTGCACCGCCACGGTACGTCCGGTCCGATCCGGTCCTGTCCCACGTATGTCATTCGCGCCACTGTCCCGACGTCTAATGAAACCCAAGAATCGCTCAATCCACGTGCAGGCTTGCTAGTGGATACTCAGTTACAGAACTATAAATCATCTTTATGAAAAACCAAAATAATTATTATACCATGAAATTTAGAACTTTTAATACTATTTTGAACTATATTTGTCTCCTTTTTAATGCCCTGTAAATTATTATTATTTATTCTTGTCTATTTTTACTGTATTTTTTCCATTACTCTACATATGCTGCGTCAAAAAGTTTTCTCTCAAAATAAGACTGATACTAAACCACAAAAAGCTCTTATGTGTGTTTTCCCGCATCGTCCATTTTAACTAAAATAAAATTCATTCTGAAAATAGAGGAAGAAATTCAGTATGTACAAACTTTTATCTCTCAGATTTTTTTTCTAAAAACATCAATATTTGCAAATATTGGGTATCGGCCATAACAGAAAAATTATTATCGGATATCAATATTGGCCAAAATGTTAAAATCAGTGCATCCCTAAACTGTACAGTGGATCTGCAGCAGAAGCCTCAGTTTGAAAATGACCATACACATGGTGCAGCATTGTATTGTTTGTCTTCCTTATTGATGAACTCGAATCAGTAACTTTAGTGTTCCCTCTGTGACCTGTGACTCCTGCAGGAGCCAGACTCGCGCCTGTGGCCCTACGTTTACCCAAACAAATACTCCGACGTCTCCAAACAGGAGGAGGAGCGCTGGAAGGAGGAGCGCGACAGGAAGTCCAAAGAGGAGCGTCCGCGAGGGAAAGACCTGGTGCTGAAGGAGGAGCCTAAAGACGCAGACAGTCGGACTGTGGCCCCTGAGGAGCTGAGAGCCTCTGGAAAGGAGAGAAACCCTCACATGCAGTTCTCCTCTCCTCTGTCCCAGCACCAGTACATGCCCTACATGCACGGACCCTACTACAGCCAGGCCTACGACCCCAATCACCCAGGCTACAGAGGCATGCCCCAGGTCATGATGCAGAACTACCCTGGTGAGAGTGCACACTGTCCTGTCAGATCTGAGTCTGGAGACAGGAAGTACATGTAGCGATCCAGGATGTTCTAAGGTTTAAGTCTGGTCTGTTCCTGGTCCCTCTCTCTGGTCTTATACACAATAACAGAAATAATCCAATCAAACATTGTCTTGGTCACTATGATTACTCCCTGCTACTATTGAAAATTAGATTATTCTCATCAATAACCTCAAAGATGATGTAATAACTTCAACATGTGGTACCTGTAGCACTGTACCTGAGCTCCAGCCCTGTTTATCTCCAGTTTAACTATCTTTAAAACACATCAGTGTGGATATTTTAGATGTTTATAATCTCTAAGATTAAAGGTTTTACCTCTATACTCTTTAGGGGCGACAGTAGCTCAGTTGGTAGAGCATTGGCCTTCAGGCCTGGAGGTCGTGGGTTCAATTCCCACCTCTACACCTTCTCCACCAACTCCCACACCGACTGCTGTCGTTGTGTCCTTGGGCAAGACACTTAACCCCACTTTGCCCAAAGCCCCCACTGAAAGATCAAGGCTATGCTCACACTCAGAGAGCAGCCGTCCTCCTGTGGACTCACCACCTGCAGAGGGTCAGTGAGGGGCTGGTGCTATGAGACTTGGGTGGCATCTCTGACTGCCACCCCCCTGACCCAGAAATGGATTAAAGGGTAGAAAATGGATGGATGGATGGACCTCTATACTCTTCTTTAACTCACCTGAATACGAAGGGGCTGGCAAAGGCCAGATCTGTGGAGAAGGCGCCTCAGCTGCAGCTCATGAGTAACAGCTCTAGTTCAGCCGTTTCAGATAAAGTAACACACTCACTCTCGGCCTAAAGAGTCAAACAGTGACTCTCAGGGTTTTGTTTGATGTGACTCGTGTTCAGCACTTTTCGTAACACACTCTGATGTCATAGGACTGTTTTCTGTCCTCAAAACAAAAGTATATATCCAAACATGACTCCCAGCTTCATTACTAAATGTTAGTATTGATCTTATTCTAGACATTTTCTAGTCCACAACTTTTATTTCCATTATTGCCATCCAACAAAATAGTCTTTAAAATGATAGTCTGGAACTCTAAATAAATTACAAATGTTAAGAATTTTATTAAATTGACCTCCTGGCCTTCAATGTTCCATCCAACCATCCATCCATTTTCTACCCTTTAATCCATTTCTGGGTCAGGGGGGTGGCAGTCAGAGATGCCACCCAAGTCTCATAGCACCAGCCCCTCACTGACCCTCTGCAGGTGGTGAGTCCACAGGAGGACGGCTGCTCTGAGTGTGAGCATAGCCTTGATCTTTCAGTGGGGGCTTTGGGCAAAGTGGGGTTAAGTGTCTTGCCCAAGGACACAACGACAGCAGTCATCATTGGGAGTCGGTGGAGAAGGTGTAGAGGTGGGAATTGAACCCACGACCTTCTGGCCTTAAGGCCAATGCTCTACCAACTGAGCTACTGTCGCCCCGGCCTTCAATGTTGATATGAAATAAGTCATTTTATGAATTCTAATATTACGGGTAAGTCCCGCCTTCCCTTCTCTTAGCTATAGCTCAAAATCCACAATGCCGTCCACTTTAACCAATCATGTGATGCCAAGGGCTGTCAATCATCGGCTGTCATGCTCGCAGCTGCGCGCATGCTCAGTTTGTTTTTACGGAGCCTCCGAATCAAGCCTCCATTAGGCTCTGGAACTTTGTGAAAACTGAACAAAGAATTTTGAACATCCGCGCTGAGTTACTCATTTATATACTGAACCTATATCCATAATCATTTATATACTGAACCTATATCCATAATCATTTATATACTGAACCTATATCCATAATCATTTATATACTGAACCTATATCCATAATCATTTATATACTGAACCTATATCCATAATCATTTATATACTGAACCTATATCCATAATCAAATCCTCTGAAGATGTGTCCTATAATGTTTAATCAATGTTAATAGCTACTTCCGGGTTTACCGCGATCGCTTTTTTCGTGCATTAAAACGTTATTTTTGTCATGAAAACGTTAACAGATAATTCTGAAAACTTCTGTGCTTGTGTGTTAATAATGTATAAGTATAATGTGTTCTCAGATTAACATTCAAAAGTGTTAAGGAAATGTAGGCATAGACCAATCACAAAGGAAGGGGGAGGAGCTTGGGTCGTTTTTTTCAAATCCTGTACCTCTCTTTTTTTCTGACAAACTCCAGACAATCACTTTAAGTAAAATAATCAGACACAACCTGCTCTCTTCATCTTGTTAGAAACATCTTTAGTGTAAGAAAGTCCTGTGAGTCACTGTCTACCTCTTTGGGATGAGAGCTGATTGGTTGAGTGAGGGTGGTCCTCTCTTGGATCTAAAGATGTGACATCACAAATACATGATGAAACTAGTGGGGGTGTCACGATTACGATTTTTTTATATCGAAAAAGATTATAATGAATGGTCTCAAGCATCGAAATCAAAGAGCAGATCAACTATCACCTCCCCCCAGGTTTACATCAGCCTCTAACCTCTGACCTCCTGCTCTTCAGGCTCGTACCTGCCTCCTGGTTACTCCTTCCCGTATGGAGCAAAGGGGGAGGAGGGGGAGAAGGCTCCTCGCTCCAGCCCGAACGTGAAGCCTCCTCCTGAGGCCAAAGCCCTAGAGCTCCTGCAGCAGCACGCCAGTCAGTACAAGAGCAAGTCTCCATCAGTCTCTGACAAGCCCTCCCCCCACGACAGAGACCGGGAGGAGAGGCAGCCCAGGTCCTCCCCCTCCCAGAGGATCCTCCCCTCCCACCACATGGGGTACCCCCTCATATCTGGACAGTACGAGCTGCCCTACGCCTCAGGTTAGTGCCCCACTGAGTGTCATGTGACATCACAACACTCCAAACAGCCGTTAGTTTAGCTTTTGGAGCGCAGATGTAACCTCTGCCCTGGTAACGATAAGATAAGATATGATATTCTTTTATTTGTCCCACAGTGGGGACATTTCTGTGTCATCGTTACAGCAAAGAAAAAAGAAGGAAATAAGAGCACTCAGATTGCACACATCAACAGGGTCTATTATTTAATAATAGATCATATACATATATTTTATTATAGATAATAAAATGAAAATAATAGGTAGATAAGCGCCTCCTGCAGCCCACCCAAAAAAAAAAAAATGTTGAAGCTATAATTGCACTTGGTTCAGAGGTATTTCAGATGTGTATATTGCACTTTAGCAGCAGAGAATAGGACCAGAATAAACAATAGTATAATTGCAGCAGGTAAAGTGACTAGTGAACATAGTAACTGTCATAGTCAGATTCTAGTCTTTAGAGCTCACACCTCTGGTCTCTGGTCTCTCTGCATAAATATAGAAAGGTATTAGTCTTTATCTTCACACTAAAAGATTGTGTTTCCTTCAGGCCTCTCGTCTTCAGCCATCGTTGCCAGTCAACAAGCGTCTGCTCCGTCCATGTATCCCCCTCCCCGTAGGTGAGACCGGTAAGTCACACAGAGTGCTCCTCCCGGGTAAGACCTGGACATATCTAAAGTCTGGCTTCAGTCTGGAGTCTGAGTGGATCTGGTTCATTACTTTTAACCCTCTAGGCGCCACGGTCGACTTAAGTCGACAAGCTGCGGTACTGTTTAAAACGGCCGAGTGTGTCCAACTGAGTATCAAAATTCATTCATACTCCCTGCCACTAGTTGGCAGACATGTCAGACTACCTCCCTGGCCCCAAAAAACGTCATGCTCTCATACAAAATATTCGAGCAAGACCGCGTTAAACTAGTGCGGAAATCATAGTGAAGCGAATGCAGCTGCGGGGGTGTTATACCGCACCAAACACTAACTTTAGACTTTGTACAGAGACTGCAGTGGGAACAGTGTTTCTCAGAGTCAGGGCAGTCATTGGGAGGTTCGGAGACAGGTTAGATTTGCGGAGAACCAGCCTGGAACTCTCGTCGGGGCGCCGCGACCTCCAGCCTCCGCTGAAGTTTCCGCCAAAGTCTCCGCTAAAAGTGCTACCCACATATTTATTTTCATGCCTCCCGTAATCACAGGGACAGTAACGTGTTGGAGAAGCCTTGTCTTGTGTGTGTCAGACGAGAGAGAGATCAGGGGAGATGAGAGAGGGAGTGGGGGAGACATCTGCAGCAGGAGGGTTGTGGTGACGCGCTTCACCTGGAGGCGCGCGTCTGCGCAGACTGCTCACAGCAGCACCATGATTTGTATTTTTTACTATTTTCATGAACATTTACAATGTTACAGTGTGTGTTCATGTCCTAGTGATCAATATATGTCTGTCAGTTAGAAAAATACAAATATTGTTTGAAAATTCTAAAATCCACTATTTGTAACGCCAAATGACGTCATAATATGCAAATTAGATGGGGGGATTTATTCTCTACATAAACTTTGGACCATCCTTAATATTTTTCTAATTTACAGAAAGCCTTTATCTCTTATTACTTTTAAGTTATAGCCTTTTGAAGTTAAGATAAAAAAAAGTTAAGAAAAAAAAACCTTCTGGGGCTTAAAGGGTTAAACATGTCACTTCTACAAACAGCTCTGTGTGAAAGTGGCGCCCTCATGTGGAGAGTTGCATTATTACAATGCACGCATGCACACACACACACACATTCAGTGGGACAGGCACAGACGCACACTGGGACAGGGGTGAGGGTAGAGTGTGAGATTGGGGGTATTGTAATGGTCCTGGTCTCTAACGTGTCCCTTCCCCCACAGGCCCACCTGATCAGCTGCTCCTCCTGTGACTGGATCACACAGCGCTGGTTTCCTCCTGGTGCTCCGGTTTCTGTCTCACTTTAAAACTGGCCTCAGACTTTGCTGAACTCCGGGTCGATCATTTAAGGACCGAGTCCCAACGAGAGCTGGTGCTGAATCCGCCATCTTGGTTTGTTTTGTTTCTGACATAGACTTGAAAGAAGTGAAGCTGGCGTTGGACTCTGCAGCCGCCTTCAGACCTCCACGCGACACAGAAGTAAATAAATGAATAAATAAATAATTAAACACTGTGGAGGAGGACTGGCCAATCACAAGCCTCCTGTCGCCGTGTGGTCGCCGTGTGGTCGCCGTGTACATATGTACAGTGATAATTCTAAGTTGGAGCTGTTTCCTACTCTTTGATTTCGTCTGTAGCTTCTGTTTTTCTACTGTTGTTGATCTGATTAAACCTGTAGCTGGTGCCTCCATCTGTGTCTTATTTACATTTAATCAAACGTGTAAAGTTTGTTTATGGTGAAGCACTGGGAGCTCTGGATAGAGCTGCTGCCACATGCAGTATATAGTTACATGCAATATAGTATCTCCAGAGTATCAATACTCTGGAGATACTATATTTTAGTGACTCTACAGAATGTGAAAAATTATGGTTCCAGAGAAGTACTCGAGCAACAAGTATAAGATCTGATAAGTTAAATCTTTCTCTCGTAAAGCTCAGGTACCTGACTTTCAGTCCCTGTCACATCTTCAGATCAAACAGAAAGGTGACAGAGGACCACCCTCTCTCTGCCCAAAGGGTCAGATAGTGACTCACAGGGTTCCTTAAACCTACCTCTCCTGATCCTCTCATGCAAGAAGGCTGTTGGGACAAACGTGATGCAGAAATTACGTTCCTCAGCTTTAATTTAAATAATTTACAAAAAATATATTTTAAGCTTTTTAAACCTTTGAACTTTGAAACACTTCATGACTAAAATATAGAAACAGACTGTTAGCAGCACGGCTAACCACTGGTGTCTGCTCCCTCATCACAGTCTGAGCTCATTAAATACAGAAACATATCTAACATCTCTAAGTTAGATTCTCACTGAAGTGATCGGCCCGTTTCCTGAAATGGAGGTGAATTCAACAGAGATGGAAACATGAAATCACTTTTGCAAATACAAACATTTCACATAAATTGTGTGAGCAGTGATAAGTGAGGATTTATTTCCATTCATTTATCTTAGATTGAGTGACATCTCCAGGGCTGTGTTTGTAAAAAAAAAAAAAAAAAGTCAATGTTCTGGTGCATTTGATCCTTCGATGTCGGCTCTTCCTATTATTGTGAAGCAGAATTCACCAAGCGTTGGATTGTTCACCCACTAATGGGCAACGTGAGCTGCGATTAGACCGTCACGTGAGACAGGTTAGTCTTACCCTACTGATGTGTTGTTGCAATAGTAATGCTGATGGGTCAAATGCAGAGGATGAATTGCCCTACCGGGATCAATAAAGTGCACCTTTACCTTTAGATTTACATGTATCTACCACAGGAGGGCGCTGCAGCTTCAGACTGGTTTGTGTGTGTCTGTGTTTATGTTCAGATCAAAGGGAACATTAGAGGAAATATAACATCTTTCGCAATACTTTCAATAAAACAGATCTTTTATGTTTCTGTTTCAGAACTCTTTAGTTTTGGCCTCTGATAACTCTGCTCTAATTATAATGATATCACTCTGAACAGATAGACTTCACTCTTTTCTAAAATAAAATATACAAAGAACTGAAATTCACTTTATATCTTTGATAAAGCACCAGCTCTGCGTTTGACCCATCCTTCACTCCCACAGGGGTCCCATGAGTTCAGTGCAGCTGCAGGGACCCCTCTAAGGTCCTCCGGTCCCCCCCGGTCCCCTCTCTGCAGGGGACGAGAGGGAAACACTGGTTTAATGGAGGAACACGTCTTTATTTGGATCATTCTGCGGATACTCGGACTATTTACACTTTATCCATTGGGCACTGGTGGATTTGTCCAGAAAGAGTTTATTAAATGTGAATAAACGAATTAGACTCTACATCTTTGGGCTGAGAGCTGATTGGCTGAGTGAGGGTGGTCCACTCTTTTCAGTCTGAGAGTGTATCTACAGATGTGATGGAGAAGAAGATGTGAACTAAAGAACCAGCGGTGGAACAGTTTGATTGATGCTATTACAGCGTTAAAACGCACACATTATTTTGAAAGTGAACTTCTTGTATTTTATTTTCTTGAGTCGTGTTACTTCCGCTTGCGGCGCTGCTTGACTCGGACTTGACTTTCTCCTCCACCGCTGCAGCTGAAGGACCTCACGGGCGCAGACCGCTTCATACCCGGCTTCGCATGCTTCCCCCGGGGCCGTACCTCCAGCAAGACCCGCTGTGGACCTACGGAACCGCCAGAAGCCCCCGGTGAACCCCGGTAAGACCCGAATAACCCCCCAGGACTCATCCGCGTCTGATCTGGGTCCTTAGCTAACGGTGCCATAAAAGCAACAGCACGACATGGACTTCACACGGAGGAACCATCTGTATGTGTATATGCATATGTCTATATATTTATGTCTATACATATATGAATTTGCATAGATCTATACATATTTGCATACATACATACACACACACACACATACACACATAGCGTTACATATGGTCTGTACTGTTTGCACGGTGGCTGAGTGGATAGCACTCTCGCTTTTCAGCAATAGGGTCTTTCTGAGTGGTTTCCACTACCACTAAAACGTGCACAATAGGTCTGGCATGCGCCTCCTGAATGGTGACTCCGGCCCCCTCTCTGTGGAGTGAGAGATAATGCCCAACAATTGTAAAGCACTTTGTGAATCTGGTCACGCTATAAAGGCGCTATATAAATAAAGATGACTTACTTAGTGGTCTGTACTGGCCTGGTTGGTCTGTACTGGCCTGGTTGGTCTGCACTGGCCTGGTCTGCACTGGCCTGGTCTGCAGTGACGCAGTTGTAACATGTTTGTAGCAGTTATTTCCATCCTGCTGCTGTCCTTTTCTTTATCACTATAGTCACTGTCTGCCTCTTTGGGCTGAGAGCTGATTGGCTGAGTGAGGCTGGTCCTCTTTGATCTAAAAATACATGATGGGAAACTAGTCACAGAAGCAACTGTTTTAGAGCCAGAACGTGAGAAATTATTATTATTATTTGGTTTGAAAATCAGGTACCTCAGCTTTAAAGTCAGGTGCCTCGGTTTTAATCATTAGCATCTTCCTCAAATCTAACAGATTCTGAAGAAGATGTTGCAACAAGATTCAAACCAGAGCATTGAGCCAAACAAGGTTTTACTGAGATTCAGAGTGAAGACCTGTCTCCTGGAGGACACTCAGAGTGAAGACCTGTCTCCTGGAGGACACTCAGAGTGAAGACATGTCTCTTGGAGGACACTCAACAGTGGGCTGTAGTGTGTGAGACTCTGAACTCTGTAAACTGTTGTGGCATTTTCCCTCTGTGAGGCTCGGCCCCTGGCCCCAAACAAAACGGTCCATTCAGAGCACAGCCCCTCTCCCCCCTCCCTGCCCCCCTGTCCCCCCTGACTCTCCCCCCTCCCTGCCCCCCTGTCCCCCCTGACTCTCTCCCCTCCCTGTCCCCCTGTCCCCCCTGACTCTCCCCCCTCCCTGTCCCCCTGTCCCCCCTGACTCTCCCCCCTCCCTGTCCCCCCTGACTCTCCCCCCTCCCTGTCCCCCCTGACTCTCCCCCCTCCTTGTCCCCCTGTCCCCCCTGACTCTCCCCCCTCCCTGTCCCCCCTGACTCTCCCCCCTCCCTGTCCCCCCTGACTCTCCCCCCTCCTTGTCCCCCTGTCCCCCCTGACTCTCTCCCCTCCCTGTCCCCCCTGACTCTCTCCCCTCCCTGTCCCCCCTGACTCTCTCCCCTCCCTGTCCCCCCTGACTCTCCCCCCTCCTTGTCCCCCTGTCCCCCCTGACTCTCCCCCCTCCTTGTCCCCCTGTCCCCCCTGACTCTCCCCCCTCCCTGTCCCCCCTGACTCTCTCCCCTCCCTGTCCCCCTGTCCCCCCTGTCTCTCCCCCCTCCCTGTCCCCCCTGTCTCTCCCCCCTCCCTGTCCCCCCTGACTCTCTCCCCTCCCTGTCCCCCCTGACTCTCTCCCCTCCCTGTCCCCCCTGACTCTCTCCCCTCCCTGTCCCCCCTGACTTTCCCCCCTCCTTGTCCCCCTGTCCCCCCTGACTCTCCCCCCCTCCTTGTCCCCCTGTCCCCCCTGACTCTCCCCCCTCCCTGTCCCCCCTGACTCTCTCCCCTCCCTGTCCCCCTGTCCCCCCTGTCTCTCCCCCCTCCCTGTCCCCCCTGTCTCTCCCCCCTCCCTGTCCCCCCTGACTCTCCCCCCTCCTTGTCCCCCTGTCCCCCCTGACTCTCCCCCCTCCTTGTCCCCCTGTCCCCCCTGACTCTCCCCCCTCCCTGTCCCCCCTGACTCTCCCCCCTCCCTGTCCCCCTGTCCCCCCTGTCTCTCCCCCCTCCCTGTCCCCCCTGTCTCTCCCCCCTCCCTGTCCCCCCTGTCTCTCCCCCCTCCCTGTCCCCCCTGTCTCTCCCCCCTCCCTGTCCCCCCTGACTCTCCCCCCTCCCTGTCCCCCTGTCCCCCCTGTCTCTCCCCCCTCCCTGTCCCCCCTGTCTCTCCCCCCTCCCTGTCCCCCCTGACTCTCTCCCCTCCCTGTCCCCCTGTCCCCCCTGACTCTCCCCCCTCCCTGTCCCCCTGTCCCCCCTGTCTCTCCCCCCTCCCTGTCCCCCCTGTCTCTCCCCCCTCCCTGTCCCCCCTGACTCTCTCCCCTCCCTGTCCCCCTGTCCCCCCTGTCTCTCCCCCCTCCCTGTCCCCCCTGTCTCTCCCCCCTCCCTGTCCCCCCTGTCTCTCCCCCCTCCCTGTCCCCCCTGACTCTCTCCCCTCCCTGTCCCCCTGTCCCCCCTGTCTCTCCCCCCTCCCTGTCCCCCCTGTCTCTCCCCCCTCCCTGTCCCCCCTGTCTCTCCCCCCTCCCTGTCCCCCCTGACTCTCCCCCCTCCCTGTCCCTCTGTCCCCCTGATCCTTTCTCCTTTTCGAGCCACGTACTTTTCATAAGTGCATTGTGTGAATCTGCACGTGTGTAATTTGTAATCGCTTTTGCCTTCTTCTCTACTTTCTGCCTTGTTTTTGTCAATATCTTGCGCCTTTTCATATCACCTTTTCATATCACTTCCCGACTCAAACCACGGAGGCTGTGGTACAAATGTTGATTCGCATTTTTGAAGCTTGTTAGCAGCAAACGACGGCTTGTAGACATCATAAAAGCAGCGAGTGATGAGCGCCTCGCTTCAGAAGAGGAGAGCGGCGTCTCGCTGGTGATTCCTTTATAAATGAAGTGATTTCCTGATGTTGTGTTAGAGTTCATCTTTGTCACTGAGCACCTTTTATATTCTATGTCACTGGAGTCACAGTAGAATGATCAGAGGCTTGATCGTATCCACAATATCTCTCTGATCTGTCTGTGTTTGAAATCCTCTTTTCTATTCTATGATAGTAATTTTAGTTTTTGAGTTATAACCTTTTAAAGTCCAGATACTTTTATTTACACTTTAATGGGAACACACCCATGTTTCTTTAATAAATCTTTCCTCTTTTTTAAACTTTTAAATGTTATCAGGTGTGAACAGGTCTTTAATTCATCTGATGAATCATTTCAAACAGCACATACATTTTTCCGTTGCCCAGAACACTGAGCAGGTTTAAATGTAATCACATCTTGCAGTCTCCGTTCTCCTAAATCTATACACAGTGGGGTTCGAATGATGTCTATAACAAACATTTGAAGCAATCCAAAAGTTTTTTTGTAGGGTCCTTCAAAAAGTGTCATCATGGATTGTTGCATGAATCACTGAGAAAGTATCTCAAAGGAAATAGTTTTTGGAGGGAAAAATATTAGATTCCTGAGTAGTTAACAGTAGACCTGGTTCAGACCTGGTTCAGACCTAGTTCAGACCTGGTTCAGACCTGGTTCAGACCTGGTTCAGACCTGGTTCAGACCTGGTTCAGTCCTGGTTCAGTCCTGATTCAGTCCTGATTCAGTCCCTGTGGTCTCATAGAGTTTCCATAGAGCTTGTTCCTCTGGTCTCTGTTATTAAATCTGTGTCTCTAAGGTCTCTGTCTGCAGGGACCTGTTAGAGACTATCTCTGTGTGTCTTCCCTGTGATGTCTCTGTCTGTCTGTCTGTCTGTCTGTCTGTCTGTCTGTCTGTCTGTCTGTCTGTCTGTCTGTCTGTCTCTCTATCTGTCTGTCTGTCTGTCTGTCTGTCTCTCTATCTGTCTGTCTGTGAGAAATTAGAAGGAACTCGATTGTATTACATCGTTCAATGTATTGTGGCGTGAAAGTTAGGTGCCCCAGCTTTAATTCTGGGCACGGTCACATAGGTTTTAGCAAACGAACTGGGCCAAGTGGCCCGGATTGATGCCACAGGGGTGTGAAAACGGCCCGCGGTCACATGAACGTGTTCTCTGAATCGTGCCAGAGCAACTGTGCTGTAGTAAAACGCTCGGTCCTGCTGGTGGCGCTAATACTAACTCCAGCGACTACCTCGTTGTCCTGGTTGAGTTTCCGTTTACGCTCTGCTACTGTAGCTAACAACTCGAGTACGGATCATGATGTTTAGGGAAAGACACTTCTCACACTTGTCCGTATTGCTCTGATGCAATACTCGTGTCCGAGCCCGCTGAGAGATGAATGAATGAGAATGAAAGAATGAAAAGTTTGGCGTACGAGCTGAGCGACCGGAGCCGGAGGATACAAGTGTGTGTGTGTTCTGGTGATTAAATAAAGACTGGTTCTTGAATGTCTGAAGTGATATTGCAATAGCACCACACTGAGAGCGAGGGTCAGGACAGAAGAGAGCTATACCCGTAGGAAACGCTGTTCTTTGGCCCTGTAGACGCACGCCCCCCTGCGCCCCTCGACCGCGGTCTGGGGCTCATATGAAAGGTTTAATACAAGCGGAGAATACGAAAGTGCAGGAGAGACGTTTGTGAAAATGCCCGTCACAACGGAAGACGTAATGTGACGCACAATATCAAGTCCCCACCACACCTCATCCCCCACTCCCCACCACCCGCCACACTGGCCCCCCTCATCTGGGCTTTAAAGCCTGCTCAGGCCCACGTCTTCAATCAAGCCAAGGCACTGCAATCATGCCCAGGAACACTTGCCACGGTCAGATGGCATCTAAAGCCCTGGCCCACTTAAACCAGGCTTTAGGCTGCGCATGTGACAGCAGCCTCTCAGGTTGAACTCATAACAGAGTCCTCTTCTTTCCTGTGCAGGCCTGGGACAGTGTTTACACAGTGGGACTAAACAGGAGCTGAATGTGTTTTGAGGTCAGTGTCTGAACGAGTCCTTCACCTCCGAAACACAAACATTGACACAGCTCTACGGCTCGTGCAGAGCCTCTGTCACCGTTACAGACAGAAGTGCAGCATATAAACATCTTACAACATCCATCAAGCATGAAATGTATATTACAGAATACAAAGAAGGCAAAAACACTTGGTGCAGCTGCCAAACCGGTTTGACCACTGTGGAGTTCGAAGGCGTCTCGTAGCTCTCTAACTTTGGAACTGTAAATAATATTACAGAATAATCACAACTGTGTAGAATGTGATCACCATTTTTCACTCCTGTTTTGATAATCTGATGTCTGCAGTTGCTTAAGTCCTTATAAACACACACAAACGATAACGCAAGCGTACACACAGCATCTGTTAAAACGCTTCTCTTTCATACACTCTGAATCTGTCTGTAATGTTCCACAAGAGGCCCGTCATTCTAGTTATCTCTCACTCCATTTATTTATCTTTTATTTGTTCAAAAATTAAAACGGAAACCTCTTGTGCCGTTTACAATACAACCATGATTCCATTTTACCACAGTATTTGTCTGAGGACTGTTACTGTTAATTTTTAGTTGTCGTCTGTGAGGGGTCTTTGATGTCGTTTCCATGGAGACTGGAGTGTAGTTGGATTGATGTTTCTGATGCACTGCTGTCCTCTACTGTCCTTCTGTGTGAATGTGCTGTAATCGTTGATGTCTTTCCTGCAGATGTGAAAATGACAGAATCTCTGGAGCCGAGCGACGACCTCAGCGTTCCGGCTCCGTCACACGACGTGGAGCCGCTCCGGGACGATGACCCGCACTGCCCCCTGCCTTTAAGGTGAGGAAATACAACACACGTGTACATATTCTCTCCCCTGCAGTGGTCCTGCTCTGCTGCTGCTGGGATTGGATTGAGACCCTCAGCCTCAGCCTCAGCCTCAGTCTCTCAGCTTCAGCCTCTCTCCCTCGACCTCTCTCCATCAGTCTCAGCCTCAGTCATGCCCTGAAGAAGGCCAAAAGGCTGAAACACGTAGGCGAAACTTTCTTTTGGGATGTGTAATAAAGGCTTTTAAAGATTTTTGCAACTTTTGAGTGCCTCAGTCTTCTGGCTGATCTTTCAACATTGGTCCCTCCACTGAAGAGCACCATAAGTTTACTTTTTTCCTTATTTCATGTTTACATCCAATACAAATTAATACAATACAATTTATTCTTGTATACTGTAGCCCTAGGTCACAACAGAAGTCATCTGTCCAAGAAGCACTCCAGCCCTGTCTACTATTCAGGACTCAGAATTCAGAATTTGTAGTATTTACAGTATTCATAGTAGTAGCAGTATTCGCAGTATTTGCAGTATTAGCAGTATTAGCAGTATTAGCAGTATTTTTAGTATTAGCAGTATTCGCAGTATTTGCAGTATTAGCAGTATTAGCAGTATTAGCAGTATTTTTAGTATTAGCAGTATTCGCAGTATTTGCAGTATTCATAGTATTAGCAGTATTTTCAGTATTATGTCAATGTCAAGTTTATTTCTATAGCACATTTACAACAAAAAACGCTGCCCAAAGTGCTGCACAGTATAATACATCAAATACAAAAAAGGCTATAGTAAAAACAGATCAACAGATATTACGACAGTGCAACGCCGCTTTGTTGCCAGAGTATTAGCAGTACTTACAGTATTAGCAGTACTTACAGTATTAGCAGTATATACAGTATTAGCAGTATTTGCAGTATTTGTCTCATGGAGCTTCTGTGTCGGTGACAGATCATTGTGTCTCTGCTTCCTCTCACTCATTTGCTCTTTGTCTCTTTGTCTTTGCTTAATGTGAGAGAGGAGCAAAGGCTCATGGGAAAAAACTGCTTTAATTCACTGGAGCCGACAAAGCCTCGCTCTAAATCCACAAATGCAGAACACAGCGGGGTCAGTTCCCAACAGAGTCTGAGGAGAACCATTAGTCGAGTTTCCACCGCAGGAGTTCCTGGTAAAAGGAGGGGGCGGGACAGCTACAGGAGCCGTCCTCTCCCTCGGCCTCTCAGTGGCTGCGTCTCAAGCCCCGGCGATCCAAGAGGGTGCCGTATTCAAATGAATGGCTTGTGCTCAGTGGCGCTTGTTTATTTATTTATTTATTTATTTATTTGATATGGACACAACAGTTGCATTGGACAGACCAGATGCACTGCCTTTAGTGTTATAAAAGACCATGCTAATTTTTAACGCTTTTCCATAGAAGGCCTTTAGGACACAAATGGACACATTTAAAATATACAACTATAAAATGAGTTAAATATACAGTTCATTAACCATGTAAACAACAGTGCTCCGATTTCATCCACAGTTTCAGACGTCTGACGAAGATGTTTAAGTCTGTTTGTAGTTTTAGGTCAGTGGGAAGAGCGTTCCACAGTTTGGCTCCATTGAAGGAAAAGCTGGACTTTCCCAACAATGTTCTTAACTTAGGAACCAGACAGTCCCCGTTGACAGAAGCTCTGGTGTTAGGCCTTCGAGAGCCTTGACGTCTGACAGCGCCAGTTCAGAGAACAGCGGTGGAACATGATCAGTTAAACATTTAAAGAAATAGCCACCATTTTTACAAACTGACATATGTTCTTACCTTACCTTAGACTAGTTGATATGTACCTGTCTGGTCTTTGTCCATGCGCTCTGTCATGCAAATGGAGCACAAACGCAGCCGTAATAATACAAGGAGCGCTATGTCCACGCACTAACACCAAGCCCCGGCGATCCAAGATGGCGCCCTATTCAAATGAATGGTTGTGCTCAGTGGCGCTTTGTGACGGCATGGGGGCTGGAAGATTAGCGGAAGTCGTCTGGAACTCGCAAAGAACTTTGGAAAACTCGCAAAAATCTATGGGAAACTCGCCTGTATTTGGGCATCGTCTGGTCCTCCCGGTTCTGTGCAGTGGATGATCTCCCACAATGCGTTGCGCCAAACACGCGTGTGTGGGTCTCACGCACGTGCACAGAGGGGCTCGGCCGCGCTCTGACCAATCAGAGCAGTTCATCAGAGCGGGAGTTAGAGCGAGAGCCAGACGAGCAGAGTTTGTGGCACTAAAGTGTGGATTTAAACAAAACCGAAGGATTTAGGAAGAAAAAAAGTTCAGGATGACAAGGGACACTAAAATCCCCACAAAATCCGACCTTTATTAAAGCTGTAGGTTCTCTGTCAGGTTCTCTGTCAGGTTCTCTGTCAGGTTCTCTGTCACGTTCTCTGTCAGCTGAGGTTGAGCTGTTTTAATATGCACTGAGTTCTATGGGGAAAATTTCTGGGTAGCCCACGTGAATTTAGTCTGGTTCAGTCTGGTTCAGTCTGCAGTACCGCGAGAATCCCCTGAGCACATGAGTTATTCAGCTACAAGCTAGTAATACCCTATCCAGTTATTATAATAGATCCATGACTAACACCCAAAGACTTCACTCCCGCTCACTTCCGTCAATAGAAGCAGTGTGACTTGTTGGAGTTAGTGTACGGACATAGCGCTCCTCGTATTATTACGCCTCACAATATAGTTCCCCTTTTTATCCACTGAGAAAATCGACATGTTACATTTCTGTGTTACTGTACTTGGTAGTGTAACACGTCACATAACTGTATTTAAATAGGGAACAAGTGGAAGAGTTTGGTAGCTTCTAACGGGAGCTGATTTGTTACTATACAGTCTGTGGAAGAGGCTGCGTTTGTGCTCCGTTTGCATGACAGAGAGCACGGACAAAGACCAGACAGGTACATATCAACTAGTCTAAGGTAAGGACATGTGTCAGTATGTAAAAACGGTGGCCTATTCCTTTAAGAAACAATTTCATTGTGCAAAAGCACATTTGAACATTACAAAATGTTCAAATGTAAAAAGTTTGTGTTATTTAATTATGTCACAATGATGCCACCTCAAAGGTTTCCTGTCATAGACTTTGATAGCCTGATTTTATAGGGATATGACTATATTTACAGGAACCTTCCTCTCCATCGGTCCTCTCAGGGTCCACTGCAGAGTAGGAGCACTCGGCGACGTCATGAGTTTTGATTGCTGCATAAGCGAAACTCATTACGCCAAACCAATTTGTTTATTTTACGGTCGTAACCGCTCCGTTTGTTGTGGTCTTTGGGTTTTTCAATAGTTCTGCTTCAGTTTTTTAAAACTTTTTACGGCTTGTTTTGGAGTGTGATGAATCCCCAGTGCTTCGAAGTGAAGCTGATATGTCTAAATATATCTTTTCATTTCCCCGCGATGCCTCAAACCCCGTTTGAATCAATGCCGTGCAGTTGTATGGTGTTTCCAGTGGTGTCTGCTGGGCTAATGCCGCTGGGCTAATGCCGCTGGGCTAATGCCGCTGGGCTAATGCCGCTGGGCTAATGCCGCTGGGCTAATGCCGCTGGGCTAATGCCGCTGGGCTAATGCTGCTGGGCTAATGCCGCTGGGCTAATGCCGCTGGGCTAATGCCGCTGGGCTAATGCTGCTGGGCTAATGCTGCTGGGCTAATGCTGCTGGGCTAATGCTGCTGGGCTAATGCTGCTGGGCTAATGCTGCTGGGCTAATGCCGCTGGGCTAATGCCGCTGGGCTAATGCCGCTGGGCTAATGCCGCTGGGCTAATGCCGCTGGGCTAATGCTGCTGGGCTAATGCTGCTGGGCTAATGCTGCTGGGCTAATGCCGCTGGGCTAATGCCGCTGGGCTAATGCCGCTGGGCTAATGCCGCTGGGCTAATGCCGCTGGCTAATGCTGCTGGGCTAATGCCGCTGGGCTAATGCCGCTGGGCTAATGCCGCTGGGCTAATGCCGCTGGGCTAATGCTGCTGGGCTAATGCCGCTGGGCTAATGCCGCTGGGCTAATGCTGCTGGGCTAATGCCGCTGGGCTAATGCCGCTGGGCTAATGCCGCTGGGCTAATGCTGCTGGGCTAATGCTGCTGGGCTAATGCCGCTGGGCTAATGCCGCTGGGCTAATGCTGCTGGGCTAATGCCGCTGGGCTAATGCCGCTGGGCTAATGCCGCTGGGCTAATGCCGCTGGGCTAATGCCGCTGGGCTAATGCCGCTGGGCTAATGCCGCTGGGCTAATGCTGCTGGGCTAATGCCGCTGGGCTAATGCTGCTGGGCTAATGCCGCTGGGCTAATGCCGCTGGGCTAATGCCGCTGGGCTAATGCCGCTGGGCTAATGCTGCTGGGCTAATGCTGCTGGGCTAATGCTGCTGGGCTAATGCTGCTGGGCTAATGCCGCTGGGCTAATGCTGCTGGGCTAATGCCGCTGGGCTAATGCCGCTGGGCTAATGCTGCTGGGCTAATGCCGCTGGGCTAATGCTGCTGGGCTAATGCTGCTGGGCTAATGCTGCTGGGCTAATGCTGCTGGGCTAATGCCGCTGGGCTAATGCCGCTGGCTAATGCTGCTGGGCTAATGCTGCTGGGCTAATGCCGCTGGGCTAATGCCGCTGGGCTAATGCCGCTGGGCTAATGCCGCTGGGCTAATGCTGCTGGGCTAATGCTGCTGGGCTAATGCTGCTGGGCTAATGCCGCTGGGCTAATGCCGCTGGGCTAATGCTGCTGGGCTAATGCCGCAGGCTAATGCCGCTGGGCTAATGCCGCAGGCTAATGCCGCTGGGCTAATGCCGGTTGTTTTGGTGCTTTCTGCTGGCGTCAGAGCCTGCGCTAGCTTTAGCCAATCAGCGCCGGGTTAACTTCAAGTCCCACCAGGGCCCAACGGAGTACCTAGCATGGAGGAGGGACTCCATTGGGCCCCATAAAAGTTCCCGTAAATGGCCTTGTGAGGAAAGTTCCTGCAGTGGACACACGCACAGACGGGGCTGGCCCTGGAAAATTACCCAGAAATTCCAGCTGTGGAAACGCAGCTATTGTTCCAACAGGGTCTGAGGAGAACCTTTCTTCCATCAGAGAGAGGAGAAGGTGGACTAATCGACACAACAGAACGTGTGCAACTGATTAGAAAGATGTTATATTCAGAGAGTGACTCTTAGTTTCTGCCCTGAGAGTCACTCTCTGACTCTTTGGGCTGAGAGCTGATCTAAAGTTGTAACATGATGTGAGAAACTGTTTTAGTGCTGTTTCATGACATAACGACAGTCGTAGTTTGAAAGTTAGGTACCGCAGCTTTAAGACGTTTATGTTTGTTAATGTGTGGATGGAATACTCATTATGCATCTGTGATGGTTTTCTGAGGATATAAACACACATGTGTCATGTGACCTGTGGTGAATATACAGTATGTGTACAACTTGTTTGCAGGTTTTTTGTTGCTTCATATAATTTGATATTAAAGATTGCTGCTTGCACTAAACAGTAACGTGTTTGTGTTTGATCATATTGCTCCGTGTGTCTCAGGCTGCAGTTTGTGGACGACCTCTCCTATGAAGATGTGAAGAAGTGCTACAGAGGCTCGGTGAGTTCACACACACCTCTGTCTTCAAACGACCACAACATCTCAGCGTGAGCTCTTTAAAGTCTGCTTTCACTCTACGCCCTCTGACCCCTGACCTACTTCAGCAGCAGGAAAACAACAGTTTATAAAAGAACATTGATGCAGAAAGGGCAGGGGGACGTTCTGTTATTACTGCAGATGGAGCTGAAACAACTCAACGATCAGGGCTGGAACCTCCATACAACACTTTTGACCAGTCAGAGGTCAGGCGTCAGGGGCCTCTCTGGTCAGGGACCTCTGTGGCCAGGGGCCTCTGTGGCCAGGGGCCTCTCTGGTCAGGGACCTCTGTGGCCAGGGACCTCTGTGGCCAGGGGCCTCTGTGGCCAGGGGCCTCTGTGGCCAGGGGCCTCTGTGGCCAGGGGCCTCTGTGGTCAGGGGCCTCTGTGGGACCTCTGTGGCCAGGGGCCTCTGGGACTCATTGGTTTTGACCCAAATAGTTGTAACACTGTATCTGCAACAGGAAGAAGACAGGACTTTGTTTTTCTGATAAAATCTGTTTAGGAACTGTTCATACAAGTACAATCAAAGTGAGAGGCCACTAGTGCTACTGCTGCTGCTGCTGCTGCTGCTGCTGCTGCTGCTACTGCTGCTGCTGCCACAGCTATTGATGCTACTACTGCTGCTGCTATTGATGCTACTGCTGCTGCTGTTGCTGCTGCTGCTACTACTGCTGCTGCTGCTGCTGCTGCTGCTGCTACTGCTATTGATGCTACTGCTGCTGCTGCTGCTGCTGCTGCTACTGCTGCTACTACTGCTGCTGCTGCTGCTACTACTGCTGCTGCTGCTGCTACTACTGCTGCTGCTGCTGCTGCTACTACTGCTGCTGCTGCCACAGCTATTGATGCTACTACTGCTGCTGCTATTGATGCTACTACTACTGCTACTGCTGCTGTTACTACTACTGATTCTTCTGCTGCTGTTACTACTACTGATTCTACTGCTGCTGTTACTACTACTGATTCTACTGCTGCTGCTGCTACTACTGCTACTGATACTACTACTACTACTGCTGCTAATGCTACTACTGTTGCTGCTGCTGCACGCTTCTACTGCTACTGCTGCTAATACTGTTGCTGCTGCTATTACTACTATTACTGCTGCTGCTGCTGCTGTTACTGCTGCTGCTGCTGTTACTGCTAGTGCTGCATTAGTAATCAGTGCTTTGGAGCTGCACGAGTCAACGACTGGAAGATCCTGAAACAACAGATTGGTTGTAATGACTCCATTAGACCACTAAGAGCATATTACACACCTCCCCTTTAATTTATTCTCAGTTTTACATCTAATCGGTAACAATCTGCTCTGTCTACTTCACTCAGCAACTTAAATGAAAGAATTCTGGTTTCCACAGTAACGGCACTCACCCGACAAATGCTGCTCTCTGATTGGTCCAGATCCACAGCACACTTTGTGGATCTGCCTCGGTTCCAGCTCAGCAGTCACTAATGCTAACACAAGCCTCTTAAGCTCTGGCCTCAAATCCAAACTGAGTAAAGTGCACTTACTGTAAGAACCACCATCTTTAACTTAAACACACAGCTCTAAGTTTTAAATCTGACTCAGGAGCTGCTTATGAACAGTAAAAGTCTCTTGTTTGTAGCTGTTTTTATTGACGACATTTGAAGTTGTTTTGTTTTCTTTCTTTCAGACCGTCAGTAAATACAACTCTCAGTATCACAAGCTTTTCCAGACGGTTCCCAAAGAGGAGATTCTTATGAAAGGTAAACTGCTACTGCCACTGCTGCTGCCGCTGCTGCTGCTGCCGCTGCTGCTGTTGCTGCCGCTGCTGCTGCTGCTACTGCTGCTGCCGCTGCTGCTGCTGCCGCTGCTGCTGTTGCTGCCGCTGCTGCTGCTACTACTTCTACTGCTGCTGCTAGTGCTACTGCTCTGCTGCTGCTGCTACTGCTACTATTGCTGCTACTTCTACATCTGCTGCTAGTGCTACTGCTACTATTGCTGCTACTTCTGCTGCTGCTGTTACTACTGCTACTATTGCTGCTACTTCTGCTGCTGCTGCTGCTGCTACTAGTGCTGCTGCTGCTACTTCTACTATTATTTATAAGACTGTTATACAAGCATTGCAATCATTAATTAGTTTTACAAATTACTCCAGACAAAGTGGCAGAATGTGACCCTGTGGGGACCTTTACATGTGTATGCGACGCTGTGGGGACCTTTACATGTGTATGTGACCCTGTGGGGACCTTTACATGTGTATGTGACCCTGTGGGGACCTTTACATGTGTATGTGACACAGGAACCTTTACATGTGTATGTGACCCTGTGGGGACCTTTACATGTGTATGTGACCCTGTGGGGACCTTTACATGTGTATGTGACACAGGAACCTTTACTTGTGTATGTGACCCTGTGGGGACCTTTACATGTGTATGTGACCCTGTGGGGACCTTTACATGTGTATGTGACCCTGTGGGGACCTTTACATGTGTATATGATCCTGTGGGGACCTTTACATGTGAATGTGACCCTGTGGGGACCTTTACATGTGTTTGTGACCCTGTTGCAACCTTTACATGTGAATGTGACCCGGTTGGACCCTTTACATTTGAATGTGACCTTGTGTCTGTCTCAGTGTACTCCTGTGCCTTGCTGCGCGACATCCTCCTTCAGGGACGGCTCTACATCTCCAGACACTGGTTGTGTTTTTATGCAAATCTGTTCGGAAAAGACATCAAGGTGAGATTTTACTGTGAACAAATAATATGTACAGGGCAACAACACTGTGTTTGTATGATCTGTTCTATCTGTGACTCTGGCAGATCTGATCTGAACCTAATCCTTACTGTATCTGTTAACATTCAAAACACTGAACTCTGTTGAACTGCTTTCAGCATTGTTCCGTCACTAGTTTCCACATATTTGGGCCTCGATTTCAGACCAAAGCATCAAAGAGTGACTGACAAGGCTCTTTTTATGGAGAGTTTAAAAGTTTGCGTTGTGTCCCGGCTTCTGTTTGTTTAACGTTTGCCAGAGTACAGGTCAAAGGCCACGCCATTCAAATAATTACTGTATTGCATGTGCTGGGTACATCCGGAAGTCCAGGACTCCAGGTCATCAGGTCATCAGGAAGTCTGGCATTTAGTTTAACCCTTGTATTATGTTGAAAAAAAATGACATTGATTATGTTGCGGGTCATTTTGACCCGTACTGTGTAAATGCATTCAAAACAGTCAAGAAAACAGGTTAAACCAATAACAACTTTGTTTTAGGTTATATAAATATTTAGAAAAGTGACATACAATACATTTTTAATTCCAACGCTATATTTAAGAAATATTTAGTCTAATCTTCTTGTCCTCCTCTCGGGTCAAAATGACAATTCTTCCCTCCTTCTTTCCTCCTGCCATGCTTTCTCCTTCCGTCTTCTCATCCTGTTTTCCTTCTCTGTTCATCCTCCTCTATTTCCTTCTTTTCTCTTCCTTCCTTCCTTCCTTTCTCCCTTCTTTCCTCCTTCCTTGACCAAAGATTCGTCCTCTGAATCCTCCTTATCGTAGGAAAATTGACAATCTGGATCAGCAATAACACTGTCCTCTGTCTCTGAAAAATCCTCTTTTTCTGAAATCTCTTCATCATTATCCCAATTAAAAATCTGTGATAAAGCCTCCTGAGATATCATCCTTCTGGAGCTCATTTTTGGTGAGTTTGTCTAAAGTCTAGCGCACATCGACAGAGTAACTGGAGACAACTAGTTGCAAGGCGGCTTTTGGCAACTGAGAGGAGATGATGGAGATGATCAGTTGAAATCGGTCGATGTGAGCGCTCTTACAACTGGAGATAAACAGTCGATCTCCGGATTCAGTCAGTTGCCCGTGTTCTACTTTTCGGCAACTAGTTGTCCTCAGATCCGGAGATATCACCCGATGTGCGCGCTCCGTGGCGCGCTCCAACAACATGTGTTTATTGCATGTATTTTACCCTCTACAGTTTATGCCAGAAAACACTCTGTAGTTGAGGCCAGTTGCTGTCGATGTACGCGCTGTTATTCCCGAGACTGGCCTGCTACTAGGAGTTGCCCGTTTTCGCCAGATTGTCGATGTGTGCGGGGCAGCAACTCACAGGCGACGGATAAAACGAGTTGCCAGTCCGATGTACGCTAGGCAAAAGAGATGACATGAGAACAGTGACAAGGACAAGTGTGAGAAAGTTCCCACTCTTCACACACCTGGCTCTGGGTCTCAGAGGCAATCAAAATACAATGTCAAAGAGACATGTATCTGCATCTGAACAACTATTTACCCACATTAAAGCGTCTGGGTCAAAATGACCCGCAACATCATCTTTGTATACAAACTCTGCACAGACATTCCACTACACATCAAAGTATCCAGATTTTACACACCAGTTCATGACCCTAGATGAGGAAAAGTCACCAAATTTCAGCAAGAAAAAGAAAGGATAACCAGTAATTTGATCAACACAAAAACTGAAATGGGTCAAATTGACCCTTAACATAATACAAGGGTTAAAGGTAGTAGAACTAGGGCGACAGTAGCTCAGTTGGTAGAGCATTGGCCTTTGGGCCTGAAGGTTGTGGGTTCGAGCCCACCGTAAGACCTACTTCACGATTCCCACTGATGATTGCTGTTGTTGTGTCCTTGGGCAAGACTCTTAACCCTACTTTGCCCAAAGCCCCAACTGAAAGATCTCAGCTCCTGTGGACTCACCACCTGCAGGAGGATCAGTGAGGGGCTGGTGCTATGTGTACCGGGAGTAGGGGTGTGACGATATATCGATTTTTCGATATATTGCGATACTTTCTCCCGCAATTCGATTATCGATATGCATTTGCCAAGTATCGATATCGATTTTTTTTTTTTTTTTTTGATTTGGTATCAATACTTAATATATGGCTACATTACGCATCTCCATTCTATTAACCATGAAATAAAGAGTATTTTTTCTTTTATTTATGCCATAAATTGGCATATTGTATATTTCTGACCAATATATCAATAATCGTCGTATCGTGATAAAAATTGTTATTGTAATGTCGTTATTGTGATATTATCGTTATCGTGAGCTTTGTATCGTGTATCGTATCGTATCGTGAGGTACCCTTAGGTTCCCACCCCTAACTGGGAGCAGCTTTGACTGCTACCCCCCCGACTCAGAAATGGATTAAGGGGAAGAAAATGGATGGATGGATGGATGGTAGTTGAACTGTCTCTAACCTGAAACTGCTTTTTTAGTTTCTGCATTTGTGTTTACTTCTTACACCTTGAACTTGACCTAAAAGTACCACAGTACTTTTTGTTAGACCCTATAACAGTCTAACAGACCCTCTTGCATCTGCAAGGAAAATCTCTAAAACCCAGTGGAAAAAAGTGAGAAACCCCCACAAAATCAGCCGTTAATCTCTTTAGATGATAGATTCATATCTATGTTTTGCTTTTATCTAACAATATAATCTTGGGAAAAGTGCATTTAAAGCTGCACTAACTGACTTTGGGATTTTGAAGCAGCGGACTCGCTGGCCTCTCTCTTTCTGCTCCCCTCCCCGCACCCACGAAGCTATCGCCCCCCACACACACTCAGTGTTGGGACGGAGCTAGTGTCTCCCAATATGGATAATACATGGATATGGATTTGCAAGTGGATGGCGTGACCATAGAACGATAGAACCGGGAAGCGCGGAGGAACGGGACTTTCTTTTGGATGGCTGTTTCGCTGTGTAAGCAGTAACCGGTGACGAAGACACACGAAGCTTCAGGTTAGCTCCTCGGCTTGTTGTGCTAACTCAGCTGTCTATGCTAACAGAGACCTGTAGATTTCTCACGAAAGTGGGGGCTATTGGTCCGTTGTGATTGGTCACAATCTGCGACACGAAACACATTCTCTTCCTTGTTTCATCAAAACTCGATCTAAAATATAATGTCACGCCAGCACAAATCTGCGCTAATTATTCTTCAAAAGGACGTATATCCCAATGCACTGCATGGACATGGATAGCATTTTCGTAATGAATACGAAAATAAAGTCAGTTAGTGCAGCTTTAAATCGTGAATTAAGTTCCGCATTCAAAATGGTCTGTGCAAAAAGAACACATTTTTTTCTATTGACGAAATAGTGGATCATATGTGTTCTTTAAGATGACTTTGACCTCTGACCCCTGTCCTGAAGGTTTGCATCCCGGTGGTCTCTGTGCGGTTGGTGAAGAAGCACCGGACTGCAGGACTGGTCCCTAATGGCCTCGCCATCACCATCGACACGGGCCAGAAGGTGACCTTATTATTATTGTGCAGCTGCCATTATGGTTGTGCAGCTGCCATTATGGTTGTGCAGCTGCCATTATGGTTGTGTAGCTGGCATTATTATTGTGTATCTGCCATATTATTTGTGCCATAAAATCTGTGTAAAGTTTGCATTGTCTCCCCCTTTAGAAGCTGATTAGGGTTTATTTTTAAGTTTGAATGAGAATGACGTTTAATGTGATGTGAAGATGAGTCACTAACTGTTGTGTTGTTGCAGTATGTATTTGTGTCGCTGCTCTCCAGAGACAGTGTGTACGACGTGCTCAGAAGGATCTGCAATCACCTCCAGGTCAAACATCTAAACTAACAAACTGGTCCGATGTCACGTATGTGTCTGAGGTTGACATGTTATTCACAGGTGAACGGGAAGAGCCTGAGTCTGAAGCAGTATCTGGAGGAGCCCAGCTCACTCTCGATGGTGAGTACTCTCTCTCTGCTGCTATGTCTGCGCTGTGTTGTGAGGACAGACAGTAAAGGATCCACAAAAATCATAGAATACTGTATGACAACCATACAATATTCCAACAAACATACAATGTCTTTTTCAGTTAAGTGAGAAAGGCTAAAATCTGTGTCCCCACTCTGTTTGTTTATTGTTTATTTGGTTGGGACAGTATATGCTCATGAACACATCACTCTGGATTGTAGCCATGGGCTAATTTGCATTTGTTGTCCCACATTCGCACTCACAAACACACACTCATTCACATGTTTTTAGTGTTAGGGGAAACCGGAGTACCCTGAAGAAACCTATGCAGACACGGGGAGAACATGCAAACTCCACTCAGAAAGGCCCTGTTCCGACCGGGATTCGAACCCAGAACCTTCTTGCTGAGAGGCGAGAGTGCTATCCACTCAGCCACCGTGCCGCCCTAACTCCATCTTACTAACTGTGTGTGTGTCTCTCTCTTTGTGTGTGTGTGTTTCTCTATGTGTGTGTGTGTGTGTGTGTGAGTGTGTGTCTGTTTGTGGGTGCGTGTGTCTGTGTGTGCATATGTGTCTATTTGTATGTGCCTCTGTGTCTCTGTGTGTGTGTTTCTCTTTATGTGTGTCTGTGTGCATCTATGCTTGTGTGTGTGTGTGTATGTTTGTCTCTGTAGGATGAGTTTCCAGAGGTGCTGAAGTGGAGAGGAGAGCCATCTCTCTCTAACGTCTCTGCCTCGCTGCCGGATCTTTTAGGAACGTCAGCTCCAGGACTAATCCCCGCCCCCACGGTCTTCAGCACACACACACTCACTGGTTAGAAAATACACGCGCACACACACACACTCACTAGTTAGAATACACACACACACACGCATACACACTCACTGGTGTGTGAGTGAACATATATATCGACTGTATTGTCAATATATATTTTTACATTTCCAATTTGTCCATGAGAGGCGCTATTTTCTATTAGCCCTACCTCACAGCATTAATCTCACAGCTGTGGGTCCTGCCCCCTTTCACTGCACTCAATTTTTAGGCCCGAGCCCCGACTGTAGTAAGGGCCTATTGCTTTCACAATGGTGAATGCAAATGGTGGCGGTGCGTGACGGACGCGTCAGCGCCCGTCACTCACCAAAACGTGACGGTTGCGTGCGTAAACTTGATTGATTGATTGATTGATTTTTTTATTCATTCGAGCAGAAATTTTACAATCATAAGTATTTACAATATTTACATTCCTTAGATGATTCTTTATACATACATGTTGCCTGCTGTGCTTACAGTTTATACTTATACATAGAAATATATAAACAAACTATACAATCAAGCAACAATAGTTTCCCTAGTTACACCATGTGTTATACATCGCAATATCAATACACAAATGAACCTCTATTTACAATTTGTCAGCTCGAAATGGAGTGGGAAGGAAGTAAAAACTTGTCGACTCCCACCCCATAAACATAATTCAAAAACATGCAAGAATGTTGTTATTTAGCATTGAATAAATAATACCTTAATAATAATAATTTCTCGTGTTCAGTGCGATTTAATACTTTTATAAAGTTACATCTGTAACAATGATCACTGTGCCCCAGCAAGGCCCAGCGCCCCAACTCAGGCCAACTCCAGTCACAAGAAGCAGCCGCCACAGCAGTAGACCAATCATGCAGAGGAACAATAGTCCACAGCAGTAGACCAATCATGCAGAGGAACAATAGTCCACAGCAGTAGACCAATCATGCAGAGGAACAATAGTCCACACAGCAGTAGACCAATCATGCAGAGGAACAATAGTCCACAGCAGTAGACCAATCATGCAGAGGAACAATAGTCCAACGCACAGCAGTAGACCAATCATGCAGAGGAACAATAGTCCACAGCAGTAGACCAATCATGCAGAAGAACAATAGTCCAACGCACAGCAGGCTCCAACTACACCATGAGCAACCACCTCACTGATCATTCATACCATTGTTTTATTCTTTCAAATGAAAAGGCATTTGATTAATTCTACAGTTTCTTTACCTTGGATAGAGCCGATTATCACCACCGTGACTGTCCTAGCTCCACCTTCAGGCAGAAGATACTTTCTTTAATTTTTGTTCTTTTACACATTTTTTTTTTTTTTTCATATTTTATTTTCAATTCATACTTTTTGTACTTTTGTATGTCCAAATGGATTCTAGACAGTGAGGTCATTCCTGACTGCGTGTCCACAGAACACCACCATGACATGGGTCCACTGCCCCTCCACACCACCAGCCACCACCACAGAAACCACCTCCAGAGACACAGAACCAGCCTAAGAGACTGCGCCGATGCCCACCAAAGCAACACCAATCACTGCTGCACACGTATTTCTACATTTAGTACACCAATATATAAAATATGAAGTGTTCTCTATACAGAAATATAAACATACAAGCAGACATACACATATTATCACATACATAACTACAAATTAAATATTAAATGTTCTCTATACAGACACACACACAACAACATACATATACCCGTTTTCACATACATAACTACATATGTAACCCTGTTATTTTATGTATTTTATTTTAATGGTGATCATGAATGCTCTTATACCCATACTGGTAATACCCAAAACAGTAACTATTGACCCTGTAGTGATTTGTTAGTATTTTTCTCTCAAACTTAAACTCAAACGCTTTAAAATTATGTATCATGTGCCATTGAAACCCATTGCTTTTGCTCGGAGACTTTTGGAAAATTCTTCTTCTCTTAGACCCTTAATTTGACCCCCTGAACATGCAAACTTCAGAACCGGCCCAAATTGGCCCAATAGCGCCCCCTACAGACTATGTTAAAGTTTTACATGGGGATAATCACATTTAGTTTTTCCAAAATGTTTGATTTTGCACATAGTTCTGTTTTGCCCTCTTGATTCAAAAGGTCAAAGCCACCCAAGACCTATATATTACCCTGTTGCCGTGGTGATGACAAACGTTCCCCATTCTGTGTCAATGGCAAATGTACACCTCGCACAAACATCAAACCAGCCCCATTTCACTGATTTGACTAAAAATCGCTCCACATCATCTGACATCTAGTGGACAAATTGAATCATTGCTGCAGACGTTCTCTATGTGCTTTCATTTTTATAGTTTCATCTTCTCGCATAACTACAACAAGTGAGCGTCCTACTGCAGCAGAATATCAGCATCTTGCAGTTGTTAATCTATTCTAAAGGAATCCTTAAATTGAAATCAAGTTTGTTTATATCTAGGGACTGGACTGTATGCAGAGAATGAGATCACAAGTTTTTATTGAAAAACAACAGTTTTTCAACAGTTGTCGGTTTCAGTCTCTTGTTCAGCACAACCTTTAGAAAAAAATGATTTAATGAAACAATACCTTAAATCATATCTACGTGATCCGATTTGTCCGTATTATTGTTAGCCCATCTATAATATTTATTCAATAGGCCTCCTGCCCAACGTTGTCACCAGCCGCCACTGCACATGTGGTGTGTTGCATGTTCACAAATACTTGTGTGGTGTGTTGTGTGTTTGCAGATACATGTGTGATGTGTTGTGTCTTCACAGACACATGTTTGATGTGTTGTGTGTTCGCAGACAGCACGTTGGAGACAGAGAAGATTCTTCTAACTGATCCTGTGCCAGAGCTGGGACACACAGAGTACCAGCTGTTGAAGCTGTTTGTCCTACTGTGAGTCTGGACCTGAAACCAGTGACTTATGGGGACCAGTGTATCACCTGAAACATCTGAGACCAGTGACTTATGGGGACCAGTGTATCACCTGAAACATCTGAGACCAGTGACTTATGGGGACCAGTGTATCACCTGAAACCTGATACACAATGGGTGGTAGCTTCATGCTGTGGTCCTCAGGGGGTGGTAGCTTCATGCTGTGGTCTGCAGGGGGTGGTAGCTTCATATTGTGGCCCTCGGGTTGTGGCCCTCAGCTTCATACTGTGGTCTGCAGGGGGTGATAGCTTCATGCTGTGGCCCTCAGGGGGTGATAGCTTCATACTGTGGTCTTCAGGGGGTGGTAGCTTCATACTTTGGTCTTCAGGGGGCGGTAGCTTCATATTTTGGTCTGCAGGGGGTGGTAGCTTCATGTTGTGGTCTGCAAGGGGTGGGAGTTTCAGGTTGTGGTCTGCAGGGGGTGGTAGCTTCATACTTTGGTCTGCAGGGGGTGGTAGATTCTTGCTGTGGTCTTCAGGGGGTGGCAGCTTCATACTGTGGTCCTCAGGGGGTGGTAGCTTCATGCTGTGTTTCTGCCTGCAGAGTGCTAGTGTTGGTGCTGTCCTCCTGTTATCTGGCCTTTAGAGTCTGTCGTCTGGAGCAGCAGCTCAGCTTCCTCAGCAGCCAGCCGCCCATCAGAGAGAGGTCAGCTCCACCTTCTGTTTGTTTCCAATAAATGTAGATCTTTCAAGGACTTAGGTCTAACTATTCAGTGTTTTGCTCTCTCTGCTCTGTCTCCTCTGCCTACTCTTTCTCTGCCACTTCTTTCTCTGCTTCTGCCTCTGTCTTCCCTTTGATAGTGTTTAAAGTTACATCTACTGTCTGCGGTGCAGGCCCCTGATTCCTTTGTTAGAGGGTTATATATAATCTTCTTATAGACAAAAGTAAAAAAAACTTTTTAATATATCTTTTTAAAATGGATTTAAAATTCCATTTTAAATCCTTGAGGCTGATCCTGTTTGAGGAGGATCACTGTGAAACGACCACAACACCTGCACTGTTATAATATGAATTTTTATCAAACCTTAAAGAATATTGTTAGTTTACACATTAAGACACTGCTAATTAGCATTAGGCTAGTTAGCATGTAGCTAGTTACTCTAGATACCTAATCTCCGCCCCCTTCACAGCTGCAGCTGTGGATGACCTTATTCGGTCATCCACTAACATGACGTTGATGCACTGCTTGACTGTGTGCAGGTGTGGAGAGGTGCCGTGCTGGTTGGCCAATCACAGAACTGGAACCTGACTTCCTGTTGGAGAGCTTGCCCTTATTTGGAGAAGAGAAGCATCACTGTTACCGTAGCGACGCCTGCTCCCTCTTCGATAGTGCACAGTAGAGATGGAACTCTTTGATGATTACTAACAGCTGGATCTCTGTATCTTTGGATCTGAGGGTCTGTGGTCTCTAGTTCAGGACATTACATTAACAGACTGTGAGACTCAGAATCTTGAAAATGAATTTACATTTTGGAGAAAAGTTGCAACGAATGAACCATCTCTGAACGTTTGAATGGTGCAAATGCAAATGTTGCAAATGCAAATGTAAATAAAGAAAATATTTGAAAATAGAGCATCACTAAGATTTATATTTATTTGAAGAGTTTTTAAAAGTGTGTTGCATTTTAATTGATAGGTTTGTGGTCTTTGGAATCACCTAAAGTCGGCATAACGTTTATATTTGCAGTTAGAACTACAGACCTGGAGTCAAACTACAAACATGGCCGCCCCTCCCACTGGTCAGACTCATTTTGAAGTTCTGTGGTTTTTGATATTTGTTTTTCTGCTAAATACTGTTATGTATTTAAATGATCTGTGGATTTACAGTCCTCCCTTTAACCCTGTTTCAGCCTCTGTTAATGTGAATGTGCCAAACGCTGGTTTATGGATGTGAAGATTAGTCTGATGGTTTTGTGCTGTATATGGATTCCTGATGGACCCTAATTGTCCCCTGTGGTTCCTGCTGTACTGGTTGCTGCTGATGGATGTATTTAATGTGGGATTGAGTCATGTTTTGTTTTTGGAGAGTTTTGTAAAAGTGATCTGTGACATAAAGGACTAATTCAACTTTCATTTGTCTCCGTCTTAGTCCTCTGCCTCAGGTGGAGACAATACAGCACTTTTCAGGACACTCAAAGACGCTTCGCATGTCATTCTTTCACTCCAACCACAGTGGTGATAAACTACTACTGTAGCCACAGCTGTCCTGGTGCACACTGAAGCAAGGCTTCAGTCTGTGCCATTGGCTTCTCCGACCCCCACCAACCATTCACACACACCACTCATTCTAGCGGGTAAAGTGTCTTGCCTAAGGACACAAGTCACTCCACTGTGGCACCTGGTGTTCCAAAAGATCTCCCATCACAGTACTAACCAGGCCCTGCCCTGCTCTGCTTCAGAGGTCTGAAGGCCATACTTGCATGCGAAGGCCAAACCCTGACTTTTACACTCAAGAATGGCTACAGTGGTTAGTTGCAGTAACTGCTGTCGCCCCTGGAGGGCGCACTCGTGCTGTACAACCATGTGTACAACCCATGTGTACGACACTGATCCCTTTGACCAAAACATTATTGAAGCCAAGACGTAACATTAAATCATTTCATGTTTTATTAATGAGTTAAAAACTTTTTATTCAATCTATTCAAATCTTCATAAAAAACATTTGAAAACAAAATAAATCACAAACTTCACTTATGCAGCACTTCCTCTGTTCCAGTCTTAGTTTAACAAGATTAGAAAAGTAACAATGACATAAATATCAATATTAATGGGAGGTGAGTTTGAAATGTCGGAGCTCTATGACATCACAGAGCAGCTCTATGACTTCATACAGCTCTTTGATGTTACAGAGTAGAGTTTTCCCAGAGTTAGATCAAAGTAAACTTTAAACTAAAAAACATTTAAATACAATTCCAAAAGCAACATTCCATGCGTCATAAACCAGTGTTGGTAAAGCCTTTAGGCATTTTGTGACTTTTTGGGAGCAGTTACATTCTGCTGAACATTCTTTCATCTTCAAGTGTGACTCTGACAAGGGGGTAAAGGGGTGTGTCTGAAGAGGGAAGAACAGCCTGGGGCTCCTCCCCCTCAGCAGAGTCTCTGCCCCCTCAGCACAGGCTACTCCCCCTCAGCAGAGACTCCGCCCCTGCAGCATAGGCTCCTCCCCCTCCACAAAGGCTCCGCCCTCTCAGAAGGAGGTTCCCCAATCCTCCTCTGTTGATAGAAGTTCGGTTCTGTTCGGTTCGAAAAGCCGCAGTCAGGACTGAGGCCACAGTGTGTCTGCGTGTGCTCTTCTCCAGGTATGCCTCACCCTCCTGCTCCAGCAACGGACCCAGGGGGAGGGAGACCGAGGCCGAGACTGGGGCCGGGAATGAAACCAAGGCCGAGGTCTGAGGGCCCGTGACCTCAGAGTGCGGCGTGTGCAGGAGCAGAGACTCTGAGGAGGAGATAAAGGCAGTTACAGCTGGGAGCCCTAAGAGTCACTATGGAGCTTTGAGATCAAAACAGATCTATTTTTCACTTCAAGATGCTATACCCAATTTTTTTTAATGAGTTCATAAAAATGCTTGTATTATAATATTGAAAACTTGAGCTCATTTATTCAGCTTGTGTATGAATTCAGGCCGTAAAAAGAGTCTTAGCGTGACGCCCGCTCTCCTCCACTCACAGAACGAGGCTGCGTCCACTAGCTTCTACAGCGCTGGTAAACACAGTAGCATGATAGCAGAATTGGCTATAACTTCTCTTGCTGTAACTGCAGACACTGCAAAACAGCCCAAACAGCATAACAGTGAGGAAGAGAAGAGGGAACTAAAGTGAAAAAATGAAAAAATGAGAAGAAATCAAGCCCGAGTGAACATAGCTAGCTTACATTGTATCCTCTGGAGAGACTTGTCTATGGGAGAGACCTGCGGGACTGCCTCTTACTATCTCTGCTCGGACTACATTTGGACACGGAACTAGCGGTAATCTTTCAGTTATATATTTTGTTAGCAGTGCGTTGCTTTTGTACCATTTCATCAGTGATTGTTGTACAATCACTGATGAAATGGTACAAATTACAAGAAGTAGTGCTAATGCTAATGTTTGCATTCGTATCAGATCACAAATAAAACTAGATGGCTCCGTGGCAGGAGAGCGTAGGGGAAATGAGAAGCCTGTGAGCGAGTTGAGGGCCGGGGCTAAACATTCAAACCTTGCAGAAACGGGTATAGCTCCTTTCAGTCTCTAAAAAACATCTAAGACACCAACATATATGATGTGATAGAAGCAATGGACAGAAGAGAGACAGGAGGAGGGGAGAGGAGGAGACAGAGGAGAGAGGACACTGATGAGGAGACAGAGGAGCAGAGAGTACACTGCGGAGGAGAGAGTACACTTAGGAGACTGAGGAAGAGAAAGAGGAGGAGCACAGAGGAGGAGACTAACCGAGGAGGAGGTGTTGTGCATCTTCTGTGATGTTGCTGAGATAAGGAGAAACCACGACCTCCACCAGACGCTCCAGCTGCACATACTCCTGCGAGGAGGCGCTGGAGTCATGAACGCCCTGAGGCAGAAACATGAATGAGAAGAGACTCTGAGGAGAGCTAGGACTGGCCTCCTGCTGGGACTCTGAGGAGCACCGGGTCTCCTCCTGCTGGGCCCAGAGTCTGGACTTCCTAAGCTTGTAAAACAGCCCAGGTTGAAAACTATGTAAACTGTACTGGATGTATATGTATGTACATATATGTTTGTATTTTATCCTGAGTTACAGAACTGAACTTTTAAACGAGATTCTGAATTTCCAAGTTTAACCTGTTTCTAACCCATTTGTAAAACAAAACACCCTGAACCCAAGACACATGAGACAGAAGCTCTGAGGTTGGACAGTCCTGGTTCATCTGAAAGTGTTTCTGCCCTTGTGGTTCCAACCTCATGGTTCCACCCTCATGGTTCCACCCTCATGGTTCCACCCTCATGGTTCCACCCTCATGGTTCCACCCTCATGGTTCCACCCTCATGGTTCTAACCTGCAGCACCAGCAGCATCTGTGTGATGGCCGGTGGGACACAGGCTGCAGTTCCCAGAGTGTCTTCCAGGGGGAGTTTGAGAAGCACCAGGTCTCTGAAGGACAACAGCGCCATCTGCCGCACGCTCAGCTCCTGACCCTGCACCAGAACCAAATGTTTGGACCATCGTCATGTGAGGCTCTGAACGATAGCTTATAGGCTGTGCACATGTGACATCACAACATTCCAATGAGCCTAACATTGTGGTGGAGCAGCTGAAAAAAACTGTTGGTAACGAGGAAACTATTACTATGGTAAGTGTCAAAAAGTCTCTCTGGTCTCCATCCCTCTGGTCTGGTCTCTCTATCTCTCTCTGGTCTCTCTCTCCATTCTCTATTTAGTATGGGCCTGTTAATCCTCTGACCTCCTGATCCAGACTTAGGATCAGGACCTTTGACATCGTATTGCAGACTCAGACTGTGGGGGAGGGTCATTGGTTCCCAGACACCGGAATATAGAGTTTGCACGTTCTCTCTCGGACTGAAAGAGAACATGCCTGATGATGTCATAGCTGACTGATGATGTCATAGCTGAATGATGATGTCAAAGGTTTCTGATGCAGTTTGCCTCAACAAACACATTTTGTAAATATGCCTTTCGTTCGCACTGTATTTCAGGTGAAAATCAGGTGTTAGGTGAACAGTGTGACATCACAACAGTGTGACATCACCGCAGTGTCTGTGTGTGTCAGGGTCAGGGGTCAGTCTCGTACCTGCACTGGGTAGAATATGGCTTGCAGAGTGGGTAAAGTCTCCGTGAAGAAACGCTCCCAGGCGACAGAGAGAGCCATCAGCACCTCCTCATCTCCTGCAGGCAACAGACCAGGTCAAGAGAAGGAGGAGGTGACAGCAAGAGGAGCAGAAAGAGGTAACAGAGAGAGAAGAGCAGGAGGAGGAGGAGGAGACCACAGACAGAGAGAGGACGAGGCCACAGAGAGCGAGGAGCAGGAGAAGACCACAGAGAGAGAGGAGCAGGAGGAGGCTGCCGATTGAGAGGAGCAAGAGGAGACCAAAGAGAGAGGAGATCCCAGACAGAGAGAGAGGAGGCCACAGAAAGAGAGGAGCAGGAGGAGATTACAGACAGAGAGAGAGGAGGAGACGGCCACAGAGAGACCTGTAAAATCTGCTGGAGAACACTTAAACTAATAACAAGAGATCTCATGGATTGTAAATAATTTTCGACCAATCAGGAGGCTGGGGCGGGGCTAACCTCTGTCTGTCTTCAAAATGTTTCAATTCCAAATGACATGAAGAACAAACTGACCAGAAGTGAGGAGGAGGTGCAGGACGTCGGCCAGGCCTTGAGGCAGGAGCTGGTTCTGGAACAAACAAACATTCAAACGTCTTTATTTCTGTGTCTGTGGTTAATGAACGACACATGGGCAGTAACCGCATTACTGACCACTATGGAGCAGATTAGAAAGGCCTGAGCCCAGCATCACAACAACTCAATCAATTATTATTTTATAACATCTGCCTCATGTTCAGAGTCTCACACAAGTGCCACACGTGTGTGTTTGGTTCTATCCCTTTTCTGTCTGAACAAGCTGATCTAAAGACGTGCCGAAGATAAGATGAAATGTCAGTGTTGCATCACAGGTTACAGAACAGTAGAATCGTAAGAAAGTAAGTAGTAGAATGAGGAATTTAGCACAACTATACTTTAAGACACAGGTGTCAAAGTCAAGGCCCGGGGGCCAGATCCGGCCCACGAGACCATTTCCAGTGGCCCTTAAGATAATTTTAAATTATTATATTAAATAGCAGCATAGGCGACAATGGCATGTTATCCATTACTAGGAAAACAACCATAACATTTAATTCCATGAGAAATGTTAAGCCAACATGTAATTAGAAGTTAGTATTATTATTAATCAATCAATCCTTTATTATCTCACACAGATGGAGAAATTCAGTTCGATGAATAAACATCAAGGGTCTAGCTCATAACATATGTTATGTTTTTTACGAGTCTTCAATTAAATTTCTTCTTAAAGGTATGAAGGGGGATTTCCCATTTTTCTTAGGAAAGAACCTCCCTCTCCACTTTTTGAACAAAACTCTCTGGTCTTATTTGACGAGCACAAATCACCAGAATGATTGACAATTGGGAGGACCAATAGTGTTGATGATTCACCCGAAAGTAAAAAATCCTCCTATCTACCTTCGATATTTGGTCCAGTTTTGGTTCAGTCCACAGTAACTGAACTAATTCTTATCAGAAAAGAATATCCAACCTAACTAATGTGAACAAGTAATTTATTTAGATACCTTCATATTCCAAATTTTTTTTATAAATTAAACCCACTTATTTTTTTGGTCCCAAACCAGCCCTTTCTTTTTTTTATTCAGCCCTCAACCAAAATAAGAATGACACCCCTGCTTTAAGAATAAACTAGAATACAGTATAAAAGGAAGCTGAAGCGCAAATTCAGACTGAAAGACTGGCCACGGCTCTCGACCGTCCAGGGCCCGCCAATCACACAGCTCCGCCAGCCCCTTGCCAACCCACTGACAGCAAAGCGGGCAGTTTAAAAGCAGCCACTCCCCGATAAACGGCGCTTCCTGAGGCTATTAACACCCACCACCTCCCCAGCCCCTCCTCAGCTCCTGGTTCCTGCTCGGGTTTCCGCTCTGCTTCCTGCTCTGGCTCCTGCTCTGGCTCCTGCTCTGGCTCCTGCTCTGGCTCCTGCCCTGGCTCCTGCTCTGGCTCCTGCTCTGGCTCCTGCTCCGGCTCCTGCTCTGGCTCCTGCTCTGGCTCCTGCTCTGGCTCCTGCCCTGGCTCCTGCTCTGGCTCCTGCCCTGGCTCCTGCTCTGGCTCCTGCTCTGGCTCCTGCTCCGGCTCCTGCTCTGGCTCCTGCTCTGGCTCCTGCCCTGGCTCCTGCTCTGGCTCCTGCTCCGGCTCCTGCTCTGGCTCCTGCTCTGGCTCCTGCTCTGGCTCCTGCTCTGGCTCCTGCTCTGGCTCCTGCTCTGGCTCCTGCCCTGGCTCCTGCCCTGGCTCCTGCCCTGGCTCCTGCTCTGGCTCCTGCTCTGGCTCCTGCCCTGGCTCCTGCTCCACCTGCGCCCCATTCACACCATGCTTCTAGCCACCACCAGTCCTTGACCCCGGGGGGTCTGAGATCATCTACAGCAGCAGACGATCTCCCCTCTGCAAATGTCACTGCCGGGGTCAATGCGCCAATCAAATAAATCTTTTTCATGCATTAATGTTTCTGTCTTGGTCTCTTCATATTGAAATACTGTAGACACAATTGTGTAGAGAAAAGCTACAATACGTGTAATATGACTGTGTTGTTTGTTACTGACCTGAAAGAAGTCTGGGATGAAGGAGCCCATCTCTGTCCTCAGGAGCCATCTGCAAAATCAGCCATCAGTCATCCATGTGTGTGTGTTGTGTGTATGTGTATGTGTATGTGTGCGTGCATGTGTGTATATCAGACCTGATGCTCTCATTCAGTGAGTACAGTTCATTTGGCTGAAGATCTTCGCCCTGGAACACCTTCATCACTGCAGACTGAACACTGCAACACACACACACACACATCAGTGTGTTCTCACCGCTGCAAACATGTACTACAGGAGTACCCCAAGGGTCCAGCTCATGGATCTATTATAATAACTGGATAGGGTATTACTAGCTTGTAGCTGAATAACTCATGTGCTCAGGGGATTCTCGCGGTACTGCAGACTAAACCAGACTAAATTCACGTGGGCTACCCAGAAATTTTCCCCATAGAACTCAATGCATATTAAAACAGCTCAACCTCAGCTGACAGAGAACCTACAGCTTTAATAAAGATAGGATTTTGTGGGGATTTTAGTGTCCCTTGTCATCCTGAACTTTTTTTCTTCTTAAATCCTTCGGTTTTGTTTAAATCCACACTTTAGTGCCACAAACTCTGCTCGTCTGGCTCTCGCTCTAACTCCCGCTCTGATGAACTGCTCTGATTGGTCAGAGCGCGGCCGAGCCCCTCTGTGCACGTGCGTGAGACCCACACACGCGTGTTTGGCGCAAAGCATTATGGGAGATCATCCACTGCACAGAACCGGGAGGACCAGACGATGCCCAAATACAGGCGAGTTTCCCATAGATTTTTGCGAGTTTTCCAAAGTTCTTTGCGAGTTCCAGGCAACTTCTGCTAATCTTTTCAGCCCCCATGCTGTCACAAAGCGCCACTGAGCACAACCATTCATTTGAATAGGGCGCCATCTTGGATCGCCGGGGCTTGGTCCAGCTTCTGTTCAGTGTTTACATCAACTGTGATGATGTGGAGGTACTGATGTTCCCCGACAACACTATTCTTTTCACGCACAGTTCTGACGATCGGTAGCAGCTAAACTATCCGTGGCAATAGATAACGCAGCAGTGGCTTGACCAGTCCTGCCTCGCACTGAACACAGACAACTGTGTTTGGTGCAAGGCAGGACCATTGGGACAAACTGTCACAATGTATTTTTAAAACAAACCAAATTATAGTGTTTTATTAAATGTGAAGAACTACATGATTCAAAATGTAGAAAAAATACTTAGTTGTCATGCTGGACCCTGTCCTTAGTTTTAAAATGCACTGATATTGGAATGTAACTTAAGTTATCATTTTGGTAAATCATATGTGGCTCTGTGCATAATGCTCTGTATTGTAATTCACTTTAGCTTCAGGAAGACACCGGGAGGTCTGGGGAGCTCATATGCTAAGTGTCTTTTGTTGTGTTGGTTTCATCCTTTCCATCTGCATACGGAGGTGTGTCTTGCTCTACCAAAAGGGGCTTGCAGACTGTGAATCTTCAGACTTGTCCTGAGAGAGGCTAGGGTCTGTCCTTGTGACAATGTAACAAGTAAAAGATTAACTTTGTCTCTTTGTTGTGTGAGATTTCATCAGGTTCAACTGTGGTTGAAACAGCATTATCATGCACCATAGCCAACTTCCAGCACAGGAACTCTTTATCAGTGGAAAGAGCCAAATTGTATTTTGATGCAATCAGCAGATCACATAATCTGTACTTTGTGTCTTTGTGGTCTCAAGCTAAACAAACTGTTCTAAATTCCCTTAGATCACTGAATAATCTTGGATGTAAAGTCGACAAATATTGAGCTTCGATAATCTGATCAGTTTCTCTAATCTGTATCCAGGGGAGACTGCAATGTTCCCAACAGAAAGTTTTTCTCAATCTGCCTTTTCCTGCACTGCCACTAAAGAATGGAACAGGCTCCAGACAATCTAAACATGGCAACTTTTCACTACTTTTCTCTGGCTTTGACAGACTGGCTCTGGCAACAGCAGTCCTGCTCTAATAGTACCAGATGTGGTTTTGGCCATCAGACAATACCCTCGTGGGTACCATCAGACGAGCCCTCGTGGGTACCATCAGACAATACCCTCGTGGGTACCATCAGGCGAGCCCTCGTGGGTACCATCAGACAATACCCTCGTGGGTACCATCAGACAATACCCTCGTGGGTACCATCAGACGAGCCCTCGTGGGTACCATCAGACGAGCCCTCGTGGGTACCATCAGACGAGCCCTCGTGGGTACCATCAGACGAGCCCTCGTGGGTACCATCAGACGAGCCCTCGTGGGCGTCTGCAATTGTTCTTTGTTTTTTGATAATTGTGCTGCACATTATATGTTGCTGCTAAATACTGTAAATGTGTATTGCTCCTCATAACACTACTAAATGTTAATTATAAAGTATTTTGTACATGTGTCTTGTGACTAACTACGTAGGTAATTTTATTATGTATGTTTAGTGATTGCAAAGAGGACTGTGGGCTGTGAGCTTCCTGTTCTGGAGGTTCTTTATAAATCCAGACTTTTGAACCGAGCTCTTAGAATGATCAATGACTCTTCTGGCCACCCTGGAAAAGCCTTGTTCCAGCTTCTTCCCTCTGGCAGATGATATCGTTCTCTGAGATGCAGGACATCACAACATGCTAACAGCTTCTTCCCACAAGCTGTTAACAGTCTGACCAGAGCACTTTAACGATCTTGCACTTTGTATTGAAATTGTTTTAGCCGATCGTTTTCACAGTGACACTTGTTTTACGGTTTTATTTGTTTGTTTTTTTCTGTACTTTTAATGTTGTTTTATGTCTGTACTTGTGCACACTGAGGACTTTTGCTAATGAATTCCAATGTGGTTTTACTGCAAATGGCAAATAAATGAATCTGAATCTGATCTGATTGTATTGTCAAGGACTAGAAAGTAGCCTGGTGCTAAATCTGGTGCAGCCGTCTTTATACTGAAACTGGACATTGTCCTCAAATAAGCTGTTACACACACACAAACTGAACACTGACACACACAGATCACTCTGTGCTGATTCTGTCTCAAAAGGTCAATAAAACAAGAATTTAAAATCAACAATTTGAAAAGTCATCATCAGGAACCAGAGGCGTCTGAGCAGGAGATCCAGCCGGACCCAACTCGGTCACCAGGGGTCTGGGAGTCTCTGTGGGGAGACGGGGCAAAGGCAGAGGCAGAGACAGAGACTTTCTCACATTCCTCTCCATCTTTGTCCTAAAAATACTCTTCAATGTTTAAACCAATAACAGAAGATCAGCTCTGCTCACTGTGGCCTCAACAAGATTAGAGTGAAACAAGATGAAAGTAACTGCAGCCAGACCTTAAAGAACGTCTAGCCCTACACAAACACAACTCTAACCGTACTCTAGCCCAACTCTAACCCTGGTTTAAGAGAAACATGAAGGACCTGTTTTAAACTGGATAAGGTGACTGTATCTAATGCCTGTAATGTTTATAATGTTCACAATGTGTTTGAAGGTCCCATAAAACCATGGATCTATAATAATAACTGGATAGTGTATTACTAGCATATAGCAGTCCCATCCATGGACACAGGGGACGCCCGTGGTACTGCAGACTACATTCACGAAGGCTACCCAGAAAAATCCAGTATACCTCAATGTAAATTAAAACAGCTCGACCTCAGCTGACAGAGAACCTACAGCTTTCAGAAAGATCGGATTTTGTGGGGATTTTAGTCCTTCCCGCTCTGGCTCCGCTCTTCCGCTGCTCTGATGAGCATTCGGATTGGTCAGAGCGCGGTCGAGCCCCTCTGTGTGCGTGCATGAGAGCCCATGTGAGAGCCACACACACGTATTTGCCGCGATGCATCATGCGAGATAATCCACTGCGCAGAACCGGGAGGACCAGATAATGCCCAAATATAGGGGAGTTCAGCTAAACTCCTGGTCCCCGTGAAGACCCATGTGCTACTGAGCACAAGCCATTCATTTGAATAGGGCGCCATCTTGGATCACCGGGGCTTGCATAAAACGCTCTTCTTGTTTCGCACATGTGTGATAATAATGTGAGTCATTCTCCATACAACACTCAACACATGCATTTCTGCTCCTCTCTGCTCCTCTCTGCTCCTCTCTGCTCCACTCTGCTCCACTCTGCTCCACTCTGCTCCATTCTGCTCCACTCTGCTCCTCTCTGCTCCTCTCTGCTCCTCTCTGCTCCTCTCAGCTCCACCCTGCTCCACTCTGCTCCTCTCTGCTCCTCTCTGCTCCTCTCTGCTCCTCTCTGCTCCACTCTGCTCCACTCTGCTCCTCTCTGCTCCTCTCTGCTCCTCTCTGCTCCTCTCTGCTCCACTCTGCTCCACTCTGCTCCACTCTGCTCCATTCTGCTCCACTCTGCTCCTCTCTGCTCCTCTCTGCTCCTCTCTGCTCCACTCTGCTCCTCTCTGCTCCTCTCTGCTCCTCTCTCTCTCTCGCTCCTCTCTGCTCCACTCTGCTCCTCTCTGCTCCTCTCTGCTCCTCTCTGCTCCTCTCTGCTCCACCCTGCTCCACTCTGCTCCACTCTGCTCCTCTCTGCTCCTCTCTGCTCCTCTCTGCTCCACTCTGCTCCACTCTGCTCCTCTCTGCTCCTCTCTGCTCCACTCTGCTCCACTCTGCTCCTCTCTGCTCCTCTCTGCTCCACTCTGCTCCACTCTGCTCCACTCTGCTCCACTCTGCTCCACTCTGCTCCTCTCTGCTCCTCTCTGCTCCACTCTGCTCCACTCTGCTCCTCTCTGCTCCTCTCTGCTCCACTCTGCTCCACTCTGCTCCACTCTGCTCCACTCTGCTCCTCTCTGCTCCTCTCTGCTCCTCTCTGCTCCTCTCAGCTCCACCCTGCTCCACTCTGCTCCTCTCTGCTCCTCTCTGCTCCTCTCTGCTCCTCTCTGCTCCACTCTGCTCCACTCTGCTCCTCTCTGCTCCTCTCTGCTCCTCTCTGCTCCACCCTGCTCCACCCTGCTCCACTCTGCTCCACTCTGCTCCTCTCTGCTCCTCTCTGCTCCTCTCTGCTCCACTCTGCTCCACTCTGCTCCTCTCTGCTCCTCTCTGCTCCTCTCTGCTCCACTCTGCTCCTCTCTGCTCCTCTCTGCTCCACTCTGCTCCACTCTGCTCCTCTGCTCCTCTCTGCTCCTCTCTGCTCCACTCTGCTCCACTCTGCTCCACTCTGCTCCACTCTGCTCCTCTCTGCTCCTCTCTGCTCCACCCTGCTCCACTCTGC